CAGAGTTTTAATATCATGGCCAGGTCAGCAGTTATATGCTGTTTCTAGACGTTCGTAAACTATGTATTTGGTCTGCTCATCTTTGTTTTCCGTCAACATGGGCGTAAATAAGACTGATGTAGAATACCTTCTCTTTTATACGAATTATACCAATTCGCTCATCTACTGGAGTGAATCTGGAGACGAGGTCTTTTATTTTCCTGTTAAACATAACCTCGCAGCCAAATTCATGTCTCGTTTCGTGGCAGTTATAATACAGTGTGCAATCATTGATTGCACAGTGATTTACTTACGCCAGTCCCTTTTCATCGCATTTCCTGTATGCCAATAACATCGACTTTATACTTCTTGAGTACAACCGCCAAAGCGAAAACTGCGCCTGACTTTCTATTCAATTTTGTTGTAGTTCATCGTGAAAGTTGACTTGAATTTCTACCCATATCGAGTTTCGATTGTATCTTTATTTAAATTTTTGGCGAGGCGATTTCTGTCCTTTTTCGATCTACTCGTTCAAAGTTGTATATTTTAATGCTGGATTTTTATTGGATGTGTATACAATACTCTTTCTTTAGAAAGATTGGCAGCTCGTAGAGTTTTATGACTTATCCTTGTATTCGCCCTGGTAGGGCTGATATTTGTATTTTCCCCTTTGACTGCCTCAAATTCTTCTAACCACCCCCCCCCTAACATATATGAAGTTCAAAAATGAAGTCTCTCGGTTCCATCTCTTTATCAAATATCATATATTTGATAAAACGGCCAATTGGATCCTAATTTTTAATATCGTATATTTTTACCAAGCCTAATTCTAGTTCAAAGATGGATCCATTCTTCTGGTATCTCTTCCACAAAGTGTCAAAATATTGTACATCCAATTTCAAACAAATAGAGTTATGATTTTACACAAACTTTGCACATCGTAATAGTTTTACCAATCCTTGATCAAGTTTAAAGATGGTACCCATCAGCCCACTACTTCTGATACTTCCAGAATGGTTAACATTTTGAAAATCTTGTAAGTTTCATTCTAAGCAAATGGAGTATCCGATTTGATCAATGAATTGGACAACGTAATAGCTTATGCAAACAGATGGGTCCATGGGTCAAATTTCAGGGTAGGAGGAAAAATTCTTTCAAATTTGTATAAAGGGGACTTACATTTACAACCCCACACATGATCACATGGCCGCACTAGATAAGCAAGGACCTTAACCACAACACAAAATTTGTTAAGGTTGTTTATATTTAACTATAGATGACAGCCCCATCACCTAGGGATAGGCCACATCAGGTAAAAACATGATTGACGAAACTAACAAAAGGAATTTTTGGAAGCCCTCCCAAGAGGAGTAACAGAAGACAAAAAAATACCTCACTCGGAGTGTCGCGATTTTATTGAAATTAGATTGGGCTTAGGTACTACTTATGAGAAGCAAGATCCCCGTCTAGTATTGGTTGTGTAATAATTAGACCTCGGATTTTGCATATTTGCATATTTTTTAATAATGAAGATATCGAAATTCTGATTGGACACAAATTCGTTTCAAAGAATTTAGAATTATTTGAAGGGTTCATATTTTTTAATTTTTTGCATATTTGCATATTTTGCATATGCACGAGATATGCAAAAAATATGCAAAATATGCAAAAAATATGCAAAATATGCAAAAAATATGCAAAATATGCAAAATATATGCAAAAAATATGCAAAATATGCAAAATATGCAAAAAATATGCAAAATATGCTAGGTCGATATGCAATAAATATGCAAAATATATGCATAAAATATGCAAAATATATGCTAAAAGATGCAAAAATGTGCAAAATATGCCAAAAATATGCACGGTATGCTAGGTCGATATGCGATAAATATGCAAGATATATGCAAAAAATAAGCACGGTATGCTAGGTCGATATGCTATAAATATGCAAAAATATGCAAAACTATGCAAAATATATGCAAAAAATGCAAAATATGCAAAAAATATGCAAAATATATGCAAACATATGCAAAATATGCAAACATATGCAAAATATATGCAAACATATGCAAAATATGCAAACATATGCAAAATATATGCAAAATATGCAAACATATGCAAACATATGCAAAATATATGTAAAATATGCAAACATATGCAAAATATGCAAAATATATGCAAAATATGCAAACGTATGCAAAATATGCAAAAATATGCAAAATATGCAAAAATATGCAAAATATATGCAAAATATGCAAAATATATGCAAACATATGCAAAATATGCAAAAATATGCAAAATATATGCAAAATATGCAAACATATGCAAAATATACAAAAAAATATGCACGGTATGCTAGGTCGATATGCGAGAAATATGCAAAAAATATGAAAAATATAGGCAAAAATATGCAAAATATGTGCAAATATGAGCAACATATTTCACATATGCAATCATGTTAATAAAAAAAATTTCAGGGTAGTTTTCGAATTTGTGTGCTTTCTTTATTTTTAACCTATAGAAATCTAATTGCGTTTCATGGTTCAACTGTTAGATTTTTGGGGCATTATGAAAAATTTGCTAAATATATGTATAAAACATGCAAACATATATAACAGTTATATGGCGATATACTAAAACGTGGACCGATATATCCCATTTCCAATACCAAACATCCTAGGAGTAATAATAATATATGTGCAAAATTTTAAAGTTCTATCTTTAATATTGCGACCTAGCATACCGTGCATATATTTTGCATATGTTTGCATATATTTTGCATATATTTTGAATATTTTTGCATTTTTTGCATATTTTGCATATGTTTGCATATTTTGCATATTTTGCATATTTTTGCATATTTTGCATATCGACAATGCATATTTTGTATATTTTTTGCATATATTTATCGCATATCGACCTAGCATACCGTGCATATTTTTTGCATATTTTGCATATTTTTTGCATATTTTGCATATGTTTGCATATGTTTGCATATTTTTGCATATTTTTGCATATTTTGCATATGTTTGCATATTTTGCATATTTTTGCATATTTTGCATATTTTTGCATATTTTGCATATTTTTGCATATTTTGCATATCGACAATGCATATTTTGTATATTTTTTGCATATATTTATCGCATATCGACCTAGCATACCGTGCATATTTTTTGCATATTTTGCATATTTTTTGCATATTTTGCATATTTTTTGCATATTTTGCATATTTTTTGCATATATTTTGCATATTTTTTGCATATATTTTGCATATTTTTTGCATATATTTTGCATATTTTTGACATGACCCCAAATATCGATTAATTAAAGCATGAAACGCCTAAATACAAAATTTGAGTCCAATCGGATAAAGCATAAAAAATATGCAAAAATCCGAGGTCTAGTAATAATGTAGTAGATTCAGAGATGTACTTTTTAGTACTATTTATAAAATATTTTACATAGTTAACCGTTAATATCAAATATTATTAGAAAATAATATTTAAATAAAAACAGAGTTGATCCGCTTCAACCACTAAATGCCTAATTTTAGACACTTTGATTAGAAAATACGCCTAACATCATTAAAATACCCAGAAAGGAGCCGGATCTCTATAGAGAGGCTATGTCAAAACATGATCATCAACCTTTCTGGTAGAAATACTCCTTTTCAGCCCTTGAACAAATGTTTAAAAAAGAGATTTACAAAATCCAGTCTTGTCTCCTTATAATATTCCTTAAAAACACCTTTTCGAAGGTCATTAAACCCACACTTACACCATTCTCGGTGTCAAAAAATTTTATTTATTTTTTCGATTCTACACTAATTCAAGAATATCCCTACAAAATTTCAAATGAAAATCTCAAGAACTCTTGAAGATATAGCCGATTTATTGTGTCAGCATCAAGTGACGGCAAGAGTGATTCTCAAATTTATAACGCATTTTTCTCGAAGCAGTGTTTACGAATCGTGGGCACGATAACTCAAAAACTAATAATCCAATCGGTTCCAAATTTTGACATGTTTCTCTGAGAGTGTATAGCCCTCGTATGAACTAGGAAGAACTTCCTTATTTTTTTACACAGGTATTAGTCAAAATTAAGCGAATTTCAAAAAAAAAAAAAAAAAAAACAAAGTTCCGCCATCTTGTTAATATTGGAGCGAATTCAATAATCCTAGTTCATACGAGCCACACATGAACCCTTTCTAACATCGTTGGAAAAATCTAATCACCTTTTGTAGAAAGATTGCCAGCTCGTAGTGCCTTGCCTTCGCAATGGTAATGAAGATATTGGTATTCCCCCCTTTGACTGCTTCAAATTCTTCTTCGATTAAGATCCTTAAGATATTGTTTATAATGGAAGCGGTAGTACCACCTTTATGTCTTTCATGAGGGCCTAGCAACTGATGCATCCGAACCCCCTGCCATTCATATAACCAACATCAATCGCCACCTAGAGAAGCAACTATGTAAGCAAGGTCGTTTTTATTTAACTAGAATGGATTTTTTTACTTGTTTACTTTGGATATCGTAAATCTTTAATCTATTGTAATTTTTTCGGATTTTTTCTAAAGGATTTATATTATTCATTCCCATTTTTATACCTAGAAATCCTATTATAAAACCTCATATCAATGATTATTTACCACACATAGGAATCTCTCTCTATAATTCTCTTATCACTTCGCAAATAGTTTAATCAAACTGCCTGTCTGTGTGTAGGGTATACCCTCAGTCGCTGATAATTCACGAAGAAGATTATCAGCGACAGAAGCAACAGCAGTTTAGTGCGAAATGGAAATATGACGAATTATGATTTACGTTTTGAAATCTAAAGCAACAAGTGGCGGAATATTTAACATTCAAAATAATTGGCAAAACTAAAATTCAGTTGTTTTCATTAAATCGACTGGTGAAGGTCGTGTCGTGACAGTGAATTTTAGTGGAAAAAAATAGAATAAAGGAAGTGAAAATATTAGCAAAAATACCAAAAAAAAAAAAAAAAAGGAATTAAAATGGGTGGTGGTCAAAATGGTGTAGAAATTCCTGTCACAACGGAAAAAGTGACAAATGGCACAAAATCCTCCGCAAATGGTGGCGGCAAGGCAATCATCAAGGAAAATGTAAATGGTACCATCGTTATACCTAGCGCTAACATGAATATTCCAGCACAATTTGAAGCAAATGGTGAAATTATTGATCCTCATTGTGATCCCAAGAAACCACAAAAGATTTCATTCCATGACATCACATCGGCGGCATTTTTAATTAAGGATGGTATTGAAAGAACGCCATGTCCGGTAAGTAGAAGATTTTTAAGACATTTGAAATGTCCTCTTATATTGAAATGTAAATTTGGATTTTAGCGTTCAACCACCTCAGATTCATATGGCATGGATTTATATTTGAAAAAGGATTTTCTGCAATACACAGGAAGGTAAGAATTATACATGTTACGAAATTTAAGTTTAAAATTATTTGGTGGAATAGGAAATCAATAGGGAATGGAAACGTAAAATTCTGCTTTAGTTTCAGAAATTATTGGACTATTATATAACAACACTAATCAAGTATTGTTCTATTAAACCAGTTCAAATCGAACTGTACTTTTTGCTATGTCGCAAATTTTTGGCGATGTGGAAAATTTATTTTTAAGATGAAATAACTCGTGGGGTATAAAAAAACCTAATGTCATGATAATTTTTTGATCAAATTTCTATAAAAAATATCTACCGCTCAGACATGTTTTCAGGCGTGTTTTTTTATACCGTCCTCATTTAGTTTGAACACCTCAAAATAAGTTGGAACTTCTTGATCAGAATAAGCTTCTATGACGACTTAGCCATTTTTGTATGTCCGTCTGTTGACATTACAATGAAGATCGCAATATCTAAGATAGGTCCCTGAAAGTATAGCAAATGGGATATATCGGTCCACGTTTTGGTGTAGACCCCATATAAGAAACCTTTCAATATTTGTTATTTTAGAGGTTTGGACATATTGTTCAATCGTATTTGTTCTATTTTATTATTTTTCGATTCTCGTTGCATAGAAAATCTACCTACTAACAATTACCTATAATGTCTCAAATGTCGGGGTATTCGTCATATAACGGTATCTCTCATTATTTGACATTTTTGGGATTTTGGACACTGTCCGAACTGACTGTAATTTTCTATTTTAAATTTTAATTTTATAGAAAATCTCTACAAAAAATATCAATATCAGTCCCGTTTCGTTAGAGCGGTTAGTCCCCATATATCGTAGTCAATAGTCCCGCGTCATTTTCAATATGTTCAAAGAGTTAGCCTAAACTTTGAACAATATAACTTTCCAAATACATTTTAATACCCCCCAGCCATGAGGTGGATATTTAAAATACCTCGAATCGGGTCTTCCGGGAGAAAACGAAATACCAAACTACAGACACTGGATTTCGTTTTCTCTTGAAGCGCCGATCTATTTTAGGTATTTTAAATATCCACCTCATGAAGAGGGGAATATACAGTTAGTCATTTTTTAGCCGTATTTTCCAACCGAAGTGGGTGTTTTGTAGCATTTTGGGTTCTTAGGTCCATATTAGGGTTCAATTATAATATGTTATGCTCACATATAAAGGTCTCGCTAATTATACTCTCAGGGTATATACACTTTGATACGACAAAAATGTGCCCCATCGAAATATTGGTTTTAGCCCCAATGTTTCTTTGGACCAAATCCGTTTCAAATCCTCCCCCTTATGTGAAAATATTAGGTTGGGAAAAAAACAAATCCATTAGGCCGTTCATCGAAAATGTCGATAAAATCGGAAAAATTATGTCATGTTAGCAGTCGTTAGCAGGAGCTAAAAATCGACAACAAAAAAAACTGTTTTAAAACATTTACACTAAGATGGATTCAAAAAGTAGAAGAAAAAATAGGATGGATCGAATTTCCATCTGGGAAACCTTGGTCAAACGGAATGAGATGGTGACTGGAGATGAGAAATGGATCATATACGATAACTCTGTGCGACAACGATCGTGGTCAAAGAGCGGTGGCAAACCATTACTGACGGTCAGGAAGGTTCTGCTATGAATTTGGTGGGACTGGAAGGGGATTATTTATTGGGAGTTGCTTCCAAATGGCCAAACGCTAAATTTTGATCTCTACTGTCAACAACTGGACCGTTTGAAGATAATAATTGACCAAAGCGGCCAAAATTGGCCAACAGGACAGGTGTCCTGTTCCACCAGGACAAAGCCAAGCCACACACATCTACTGTGACTCGCCAGAAACTTCGGGAGCTTGGTTGGGAAGTTTTAATACATCCGTCACTTATCCGACTAGACACCAAACGAATATAATATTTTTCTTGCATTGCAAAATTTCTTTAATGATAAAAAATTTGTTTCTAGGGAGGATTGTGAAAATCGACTACTTATAGTTTTTTTTTGGAAATAGCGAGCAGGACTTCTATGAGAGAGGCACTATAAAGTTACCTTTAAAATGGCAACAAAACGGTGCATATCGGACATTCCGAAACATGTTAAATAAACTCCTAATGTTCATATAAAAATAATGGATTTCTTTTTCCCCAACCTATAATTTTCGATCGTTAATAGAGACTTTCAGGCCTGATATTTTCTATTTACATCGTTAAGTTCATCTGTAGAGATGAATTCAGAATTTCAGCTCCTCTAAAGAGACTATACATTTTCATGTACCAACATAAACTTATATTATTTAGAGAATATTTTTCAATGACCAATTCAAAATTGCATTTTTAGGAAAAATTTAAAAGAACCTATAAATTCGTAGAGATTTTTAGGTATATTTTACTTGGAAAGAAATCCAGCATGGGTTTTTAAATTATATGTTTTATTTAAAAAAACCTCAAAGAAGACCTTCAGGTCTTTCATTAAACAAGAATATTAATCTTCTATGAGGGAACCCTTCAGCTCTTCTATGAAGGAGAACTCCTTATTCTCTATGATGATGAACTGCAGATCTACTTTGAAGAGTCAGTATCTCTTGACTAACAATTGACGTCTTCGACATTCAATCTTTTGGTCGTCTAAAAATACTTCAGAAACTCCATGGAATTCCGGTCGTCAATAGAGACTCCAAGGCCTTAAGTACGTCAACAAATCATAGACTTCGGCCCATTTTTGAGATTCCCTGGTCTTAAAATCGTCTATAGAAACTTGCAGGCATAAGCTTTGAAACCTCATCAAAAACTCTGTATAATAGTACGTTTACATTTAACCGGATTTCGTTAACCCAGTGGGTTTCAATTGTCAATACCTTTACATATATGTCAAATAAATCCTCATAAAGTAGGTTAACCCGGTAAAAAGTTCTAATGTAAATGCCGTTTAAAACGGCTAAACATTTCAAAAAATGTTATACATGTTCATAAAGTAAATAAAATTCCATGCTATTTTTAAAAACATAATTTGTCATATTCATATTGACACTAGTATTACGTTGGAATCAAATCAGCTGGGTTTTGCTATTACCTTTTATAATTGTACCATGGTAAAATTCAATGATTTCCAAAATCAATATATATATATTTTTTTTTTTTTTTGAGTACACTTGAACATATTTTTAAATATATCTGCTATATGCCGATTTACAATATCAAACATAATTGAAATCAGTTTTTTAGATAAGACATCCAAAGTTTTTTTTTAATTCTTTGATAATTATCAAAATAAACGAAAATTGTTAAGCGCTTTAAGACAAATCGTACAATATAAAAAGCCTTCTTCTATAAAGAAGAACTCCAAAATCAATGTCTCTCCGACCTAATGATTTTTTAATATATTTTAAATTGATAATGAATTTTCTATTCATTGAAGCTGAATTAGTTTTTGTATGGCGCAATCAATAATAATTTGCCACCAATTTGATTAATTAAATTCCATACAAACGAAATTCAAAAATAAGCGAAAAAAGTCAAATTGATGATATCTCTGCATTTTTTTAGAAATTGAAACCTTTGTCCTATTCGAAAAAAAATTAAACCAACACACACACGTGTACAGATACGATTGAATGCATTTTGAAATGAGATGTAGTAAAGTTACTTAATTACCATTTCTTATCGCAAAACATTTATTAGTACACATATAGGGTGTTTTATTTAAGAATGATAATATTTAAAAAATGTATGTACTAAAATTAAAAAATACAATTTGAAATTCGTTGCAATTAAATTAGCAGTTAAAATATTAAAAAAAATGTAATTAATAGAGAACAATTTAAAAATATGTTGGTCGAATTTAACACAAGAGTATCGAAATATTCAGACTTTCGTTCTATTACAATGAAAATGTTTTTGGTACATTTTAGTGCTGCTTTGAAATGTCAGCTGACCTACATAAAAGAAATAGTTACCTTCCCCCACCAGGAAATAAAACGTTAACCCCTTTAACATTAGATTCCATCAAATTTCAAAGTTAATTGCTGGCCAATCTATGGACCTCCATAAAAAGGGGAAATAAAACAAAACCGAGACGTCTGCCACAGTTTCATGATTACAAAACATGAAGCGTGGCTGATTGGAAAACTTTTTTCCACTGACCGTTAAAGAAAAAAATGATTGTCATAATTAATAAATATAGACATTCGATTGATAAGGGAAAATATAGCATTGGATTGGCTACATACTATTTGTCTGGACATTGTCGTAATGTAATTAATCATGATGAGCAACATAATAGTTTCCAGCTATTAACAATAATGAAGATTTTGAAAATTAAAAATTATGACATGATGTAATGTGATTTAAAAGGAAATACAAATCAAAAATACTGACTCACCTTAAAGTCCCTTTACATAATAAATTTATTATATTGCAGAAGGTCTACAGAAGGCATATTTTTCAGAACTGTTACTTTTTCCTCCACGAAGGTTACTTTTACCTCCACCACTATACTCATATAGGCAACCTCCACGTTCTTGCATATTATCCTTATTGGATGCACCAAGTTCAGATAGGGTCGATCGGATACTTTAACCTTGAATTGAAAACAAACTAGTTATATGTATTTAATGAGGATAATGGTATAAACCCCCCAAGAAGGTCTCAAAGAAGACCTTCTAGTCTTCCATTAAACATGCATTTTAACATTCATCAGCTTTTTTATGAAGAAAAAATCCAGTTCTTATATAAAAAAAGAACTCCAGATCTCCTATGAAGAAAAGATCAAGTTCTTCTATAAAGGTAATTGGGTAGATCATTGAGAAGTCCTTCTGTTTTTATTAAACAGGAAAATCTTCAGCCTTTGTATGAAGAACCCCAGATCTTCTATGTAGAAAAATTCCAACTCTTCTACAAAGAGCTAATAGTTGTATAGTTCATTGACTCCTTCGACAACAAAGACTTTCAAGATTTTGATTGTCTAACAATACTTCAACGTCTTTAAAGACTCGCTGCCCTTGTGATCCTCTAGAAAGACTACCATGCCTTAAGGTCATCTGTAAATAATTCCCAGGCTTCAACCCGTCTATATAGATACCTGGTAACAAATATCGTAAATAAAAACTTATAGATAATTCGCAGCCTTCAGCTCGTCTAACTATATAATATAATTTTTTCCAACATAATTTTTTTTTAGAAAATATTGAAACTCTAAGGCTCGTATATACGGAATCACTGGCCCTAAGCTCTTCTATGGAGACTCCAAGGGCTTATAGAGTATTCTTATCGTCTATAGAGACTTCCTGGCCTTGACAACGCTCATTGAAAATCTATAGAGATCCCTGAACTTCAGATCATCTGTTTAGACTAATTTTGAAACTCTCAGGCTAATCTAAAGGGATTCACTGACTTAATGCTCTTCTATGAAGGCCGTCAGGGCTTGGATTTTTTAGAAAATATTCAAGTTTGCATTCTTATAGAGACATTTTGAAGGACATTTAATAGCGACTTTATTTAAAAAATATTTTTAGGTCCCAATAAAACCGTGACTTTTTTATAGAATATTTTTCAGGGACCAATGACTTAATTACTTACTTAGCTGGCTTGTGAGAGAAAATTTGTTCCATAAGCCGAGCTTAAAAAAGATTTCCAGGCGCTTCTGTCTTTTGCGCAGCTCTTCCAATTTGAAAGACCATGCATCGAGATGTTGTCTTCTACTTGGTATTTCCATCAAATTCGTGGCTTTACTCTCCGTTTTTCCTTCCTCAGTTGGGTCGCTTTTATATGTCTTTTGAGCTGGGGCATCCTCATCCATTTTCACAACGTAATCGCTGCAATTCGATACGTCTGACTATGTCGATGTCCGAAAATAAATGGTATAACTCATGATTCATTCGACAGCGATATTCACCGTCCACGGATATCGGCCAATACATATTCCGGAAAATTTTTCTCTCAAACACTCCAATAGCTGCCCCATCTGCTTGCGCATGTACCCATTCTTCAGATTCATATAAAAGCACGGGTAGTATCAGTGTCTTGTAGAGTGTGAGTTTGGTCTGGCTCCCGCCTTGTTTCGAAACTGCTTACTTACACCATAGTAGCATCTGTGTTGGCCAACACTATCCTTATCCGAATTTCACACAGTACGATGGGAGGGAGACTAATTACTCTATAGTTGGCACATATCGTCTTGTCTCCATTTTTGTACACGGGACACAGGATACTGAGGTTCTAATCGTTTGGCATGAATTCCTCTCGCCAATTTGTACTACTCATGCTCTAGCTCCTGACCATTGATTGATTAGTTCGGCTGGTAACCCATTAATTGCTATTCTGACCACATCTTGGCTAGGTGGTATACAATCTATACCTTCATGCCATATTAAGGCCAAAAATATATATATATTTACTATTGGGAGATTTTTAGTCTAGATAGGTTGGAGAATTGTATCTCTATAAGAGGTATAGAAAAAATTATATTTCTATCAGGTATCTATGAACATTATTTACGTATACATCCCAGTAAATAATATATTCTCAGGAAACTTAGAGATCTAGTATTTTCAATATTAAATATTATAATATTCCTCCCTTGTTACCGCTCCCTTATAAAAAAAACATGTCCATTTTAATTTCAGTTTCAAAGAACGTGGTGCCCGCTATGCTTTATTATCTCTATCGGATGAACAAAAGAAAATCGGTGTTATATCAGCCTCATTGGGTAATCATGCTCAGGTAAAAAATACCCTAACTTCTCATTTAACTTCAATAATATCCAATTTTCGTTTTTCTGTTCTACAGGCTCTCAGTTATCATGGCTGGAAATTGAATATCCCCGTCACGGTGGTTATGCCCAAAGCTGCACCGATTATGAAAATTCAGAAATGCCGCAACTACAAAGCCAATGTTATTGTCGAGGGTAAAGATATGGGTGAGGCCAAGGCATTGGCCATGAAAATGGCCAAAGAACAGAAGATGTTGTACATCAATGGCTACGATCATCCACACATTATGGCCGGACAGGGTACTATTGGTTTGGAAATTTTAGAACAAGTACCAAATCCAGATGCCGTGATAATTCCAGTGGGTGGTGGTGGCCTTATTGCTGGTATTGCAACGGCTGTTAAGGCCCTGTCGCCAAAAACTAAAATTATTGTGAGTTCAAAAGGGGATTTTTGTTTGTAGAGAATTATTTAATTTTTATAATTTTGTTTTTAAGGGTGTCGAATCAGCCAAATGCCCTAGTTTCTCTAATGCCATGGAAAATAATGGTCCAATTCACACGCCCATTAAAAATACCTTGGCCGATGGCTTGGCTGTACCCAAGGTGGGTTATAATGCTTTCGTCACAGCTCTGCCATTGATTGATAAAATGGTTGTCGTCAAAGAGGAGTGGATTGCTTTGGCCATTCTTCGTTTGGTCGAGGAGGAGAAATGTGTGGTGGAGGGTGCTGGCGCATCAGGTTTGGCAGCCATTTTGGCTGGCCATCTGCCGGAATTGAAGGGAAAGAAGTAAGTTTATATCTATAAAAAAAATTAGTTTTGTTTATAGAAAATTTCACTCAAATTTGTATGGAAAATTTCATTGAAATTTTATAGAAACTTGCAGTGACATTTTCTCTTCAGAAAATTCATTTATTGAAATTTGATTTCAATGGACAATTTTTTTGAAAATATTCCTTAGAAAATTTAACTAAAATTTAATTCACATAAAAATGTTATTGGAATTTTATTTCTATAGAAAGTTTCTTTTGAAATTTTATTGCTATCGATAATTTCATGCAATTTTTTCAATACAAAATTTCATTGACATTATTTTTTATGGAAACTTTTCAATGACTTTTTATTTTCACAGAAAAAATCATAAAATTTTATTTCTATAGAAAATTTCATTAAAATTTTATTTCTATAGAAAAATTGCTATAGAAAATTTCATTGAAATTTTATTTCTATAGAAAATTTCATGAAATTTTATTTCTATAGAAAATTTCCTGAAATTTTATTTCTATAGAAAATTTCATTGAAATTTTATTTCTATAGAAAATTTCATTGAAATTTTATTTCTATAGAAAATTTCATTGAAATTTTATTTCTATCGAAAATTTTATTGAAATTTTATTTCTATAGAAAATTTCATTGAAATTTTATTTCTATAGAAAATTTCATTGAAATTTTATTTCTATAGAAAATTTCATGAAATTGTATTTTGATAGAAAATTTCATTGCAATTTTATTTCTATAGAAAATTTCATTGAAATTTTATTTCTATAGAAAATTTCATTGAAATTTTATTTCTATAGAAAATTTCATTGAAATTTTATTTCTATAGAAAATTTCATTGAAATTTTATTTCAATAGAAAATTTCATTGAAATTTTATTTCTATAGAAAATTTCATTGAAATTTTATTTCTATAGAAAATTTCATTGACATTTTATTTCTATAGAAAATTTCATTGAAATTTTATTTCTATAGAAAATTTCATTAAAATGTTATTTCTATAGAAAATTTCATTGAAATTTTATTTCTATTTTATTTCTATAGAAAATTTCATTGAAATTTTATTTCTATAGAAAATTTCATTGAAATTTTATTTCTATAGAAAATTTCATTGAAATTTTATTTCTATAGAAAATTTCATTGAAATTTTATTTCTATAGAAAATTTCATTGAAATTTTATTTCTATAGAAAATTTCATTGAAATTTTTTTCTATAGAAAATTTTATTGAAAATTTATTTCTATAGAAAATTTCATGAAATTTTATTTATAAAGAAATTTCGTTAGAACATTTCATTGCAATTTTAGTTTCTATGGAAAATGTTCTTGAAATTGTATTTCTATGGAAATTTTCATTAAAATTTTAGTTTCTATGGAAAAATTTCTTGAAATTTTATTTCTATAAAAAGTTTCATTGAAATTTTATTTCTATAGAAAATTTCAATGAACTTTTATTTCTTTAGACAATTCCATTTCAATTGAAATTTGTATCGAAATATTTCAACATTTTAATTTCAATATTTGTCTTCCCCTTTCCAGGGTCGTCATCCTGCTGTGCGGTGGTAATATCGATACCACAGTCTTTGGTCGCTGTTTGGAGCGTGGCTTGGCCGCCGAAGGTCGTTTGGTTAAATTCAATGTTGAGGTATCCGATCGTCCCGGTGGCATTCATGAGTTGTGTGAAATTCTCTCGGATCTTGGTGTATCCATTAAGGATATTATGCATGAACGTGCCTGGCTGAAGGATATCTACACTGTGGAGGTGAAAGTAATTTGTGAGACGAGAGATTGGGCCCATAGCACAGAATTGAAAGAAGAACTGAAGCGACATTATACAAAAGTACAATTCTCTGAGGAACCATTGGCCATACATGAACAGATGATTAACCAAGGCAAGAAATAGGAACAATCAAACACACACACAAATCGTCCTTTTTGAAAACAAGTCCCTGTTATTATTATTAATTTTATTAAAATGTATTTAATCAATAAATTATTCGATATTTATTTAAGTAATTTCAAACTGGTTTTATTACTCCTCTTCTTCCTCCTCCTCCTCTTCTTCCTCGTCCTCATCATCATCAGTATTATCATCTGCCGATTCATGTGACTCATTTTCATAATCCATCAAATGCTCCCCCATATCCCCTAGCTGTAATTCCTTTTTCAGCAAACTCAAACGATAAGCCTCCTCCAATTCCACACTGGGATCTGTGGCTTCCACAAAATCCATTGCCTCATGAGGATATTCCTCAGCTGGTTCGGGTGGATGATGCCACGTCATATTACGTCTGACATATTTATTACCCCAACCCAAATAAATGGAATCGCATAGATCTTCAAAAACAAAGGAGTACGCTCCAGGCCATAGATTGGATCGCATTATTAACATCCTTTCATTTCGATTAGTAAAGTTGCTGGTAAAACGTCCAACCCATGGCACGGAAATCTCATCATTTGCATCACGAGAACAGGGTGTTAGAATGGACGGGCCATATTCTCGCAATTCTGGTTCTTCAAATTCTTCTTCCTCGTCGCCACCTTCTTCGGAATCGTTTTCTTCACTTTCATCTTCTTCTTCGTCGTCACCCTCTTCATTGTTTCCCTCTTCTAGGCCCATTTCTTGAAGACGTCGTAATTTTTCTAAACGTTTCAATTCACGCTGTCGCTCACGTTTTGCCTTCTCTTCATCGAACCAAACAACTCGACCTTGTTTGAGGATATTGGGTCTAGTGTGAAGCCATTGTGAGGGGTTGTTCAGAGAAGTTAGGGGTCGGGGAATATATTTTTCGTTTTTGACCAAAACAATATCATTATCTGAAAGGGCACATAATTTAATGAAACTTTTGATTGACATAAATTTTTAATGAAATTTTCTATGAAAGTAAAATTTCAATGAAATTCTATATAGAAATAAATGTCAATGAAAGTTTGTAAAGAAAGTAAAATTTTCCATAGAAATAAAATTTCAATGAAATTTTCTATAGAAATACAATTTGAATGAAATTTTCTATAGAAATAAAATTTCAATGAAATTTTCTATAGAAATAAAATTTCAATGAAATTTTCTATAGAAATAAAATTTCAATGAAATTTTCTATAGAAATAAAATTTTATGAAATTTTCTATAGAAATAAAATTTCAATGAAATTTTCTATAGAAATAAAATTTCAATGAAATTTTCTATAGAAATAAAATTTCAATGAAATTTTCTATAGAAATAAAATTTTATGAAATTTTCTATAGAAATAAAATTTCATGAAATTTTCTATAGAAATAAAATTTCATGAAATTTTCTATAGAAATAAAATTTCATGAAATTTTCTATAGAAATAAAATTTCATGAAATTTTCTATAGAAATAAAATTTCATGAAAATTTCTATAGAAATAAAATTTCATGAAATTTTCTATAGAAATAAAATTTCATAAAATTTTCTATAGAAATAAAATTTCATGAAAATTTCTATAGAAATAAAATTTCATTAAATTTTCTACAGAAATAAAATTTCATGAAATTTTCTACAGAAATAAAATTTCATAAAAATTTCTTTAGAAATAAAATATCATGAAATTTTCCATATAAATTAAAAATTTAATAAAAATGTCATTAGAGAAAACATTTAAAGAAACTTTCTATTGGAAATGAAATTGTTCTAAAAAATAATTTTCCTTACCTTGCTCTCCTTCACCCTCCTCGCCTTCCCCCTCACCAAAGATCGTGCTTTCATTCTCCTCATCTTCCTCGTCACCCATTTCATCATCCACAATACCATCAAATAGACGCTGCTCACTCTTACTCATTTTGCGATAATAACCCTTAGGAGCAATATAAGTACCCGCGGTGATACGAGCAATCATAGCTCTCAAATAATGTTTCTCTTTGCCGGGAAAGCAGGGATACGAAATAATATCCGCTTCTAAATCTCCCGACAAAAATTTCTTAATCTTACGAGAAATCGCAATTTGTTTGGGGGTACAAATTGGCAACTCAATCCATTCATCGGAGAGGGAGTTCACGACAAAATATGAAAAACGATTTACCCCACGTCCTATGGGTTCAGGTGGTATGTCGAATAGCTCTTCAGTTTTAACCGTGTGTATGGGCATGGCTGGAGGTATCATTTTATCCAATTCATCTGCCGGATAATTTTCCCAACCCACCGAACCTGGTGTTAATTCAGGACCAATATGTGAGGGTAGTTTTACCTCCTCTGGCATTCTCCATTGCGACTCTTCGATTTCTTTATGCATTTGTAAAAATCGTGCATCAATTTCTTCGTTTGTCAACAAGGCCTCCACAATGTAATATGAAGCCTTAAGGCCATTTATCATACCCCAAAAACGGCATTGCCTAATGCACGGATGTGTTTGTATACGATCCATTGAACAGGCCAATTGGAATATATCTTCGGAAGAGATACTAAAACCACATTGATTCCAATAAAATTGCAGATGTTGAACACGTTCATTGAATATTCGGAACTTATAGGCGTAATCGAGTTTTAATGGTAATTTTAGATCGTCTTCTTTTTGGTGATCTTCTTCAAAGTCCTCCTCTGAGATACCAGGTTTCGTATAATCGATCATGGGTAATTTCATCGACATTAATTGTTTCTTGGCCACCTTATATAGTGGGTGTTCCTCGTAGACCCCATTGGGTGGAAACCTTTCCGGCAAATGGAGTTTTTGTTCACGAACATTGCGACTGAATTCTTCGAAGAAATCAATGACATTCGGCGGTCGTTCGTCTATGACACGTTTTATTATGTCCGATAAATGGTCGAAACTGGAAAAAAAGCAAATAAGAAATATCGTAAAGTTCGATCTGGCCGAACTTTTTATACATTCAAAATACCTAAAATCGGTCTGTATTTTGCCCATCTTCTGGTAAGAGGAATTTTGTCCACCCATAATCTGAAATGTCAAATTACAGCCACATTGACTAAAACGTTGAAAATACCGAAAACAGTGCGGAACTCTATATACGGGGGCTATATGAGCCTATATTGACAATTTTTTAAGATTTTTAATTCCCCATAAACCCATATTGCCAAATTACTGCCACTTTGGTGCAGTTAAAATCTTCAAAATGCCGAAAATGGGGCGGGGCCTTCATTTGGTGACTATATGTATGTATATTAAGAAATTTCTGTGAATAGGTATTTTTACCCAACTAGAACTCGGAATGGCAAATGTTTCTAAAAAATTCCGGAAAGGAAACCGAACTCTAAAAAAGATGACTATGGTTCGAATATTTAGTTAAAATTTGTAAAATACCGAAAATAAGACGATTTTGTTATCGCATTCTCTAGAGTTGAAAAATCTCGTTCCTAAGGCGGTTCGATCTTTTTCGGTTCACTAGTAACTAGGTCATTAATTTAGTTCCATTGTTTTTTTAGTTCAATAGGTATTTTACCCACCTAGAATGGCAAATAAAGTCACTTCGTTGGGAAAATGTAGACAAAAATACCGGAAAGGAGACCCACACTGTATACCTGGTTCGAAAATTTAGTTCCTTGTTGTTTAATGATTGGATTGAACGGAACTTAGTGAACGAGATAAAAAGGAACGACTGAAGCAAATTGAACTAAGGAACTGGCCTAGAACCGATCGTTCTTTGGTGAATAGTTCTTTTGAACTATTTCGTTCCGAGACGACCTAAATCTACCATTTTCAAACTTTTTAGGAGCTCTGTCTTATGGACATGCATAGTATTCAGTCCGATGGACATGCATAGTATTCTAATAATGAATATGTGAATGTGGGGTATCCTACATATATTTTGAGTTGTGACAAACGCAATGGCAAATTTAATATCTAGTCCACCTTATCATTGAGGGTATAATTAATATACCGTCCATAACCAAGCTTTCATATTACTCACAGATTATCACCACTTATGCTGCTGTACTGTTGCATTATCGACTTGGCCAGCGACAATTCATAGCCAATATTTGGTGCTGCGGGACGGGACAATTTTTGCTTACGACAATCCTGATTGAAGAGAGCACTGCTAATGACCGAGGAGGAGGATGAAGTACTCGTTAACAATCCCGAGGGACACTGCCCTACTGATTCATTTCGTCTCGAATTTTTTTCTTCTGATTCTGCACATGCTGGTTGGGCTCTCTGGTAGGGATAATTTCCACCAATGTTGATGCTGCTTGAAGTGTCGCTTGGTATGAAATCGTTGCAGGAGAAATTCGTATCCAAGTTCATGATTTTATTGAGGCTTTGTTAAATATTTTAGGTGTTTTGTAGGAGGCAAATAGATTTGAAAAATATATTTTTTTTAGAATTGACAATAATTGAAGAAGTACAGACCAAGTTAGATATATAAGGTAGCCGCATCGGCGAATTTGGAACATGATATGTCAAAATTGTCAACTAGGCGAATAATAATTAATTCGCCGTGACATACAATACTTGAAGCAAATTACATTCAACCAATCGGAATTCAGCATTTTTCTTGCGTTTTAATGCCCTCAATGGACTTCAAATAAAACTCGAAAAAAATGTAAATAAACCATAATAAAGGCATAGAAACGTGTTCCGGTGTCCCCTATGAATATAAAATTAGATATAAATGATTTGTTAATGGAAATGAAGCAAATTTAAACTGCTCGAAGATTCAAGATGAAGAATTTTATTCCGACAAAATATTCTGGATGAAGAATTTAAACTACTTATCAATCTTTGGGAATGGGTTTCATATAATATATGGTCAGGACCTATTCTCATATAAACCTAAAAGATTTATTGAATACCAAGTTATACAAGACCAACATTATATACAAAATAACAAAATGTTTCAGAAGACAAAATAAATCTCTATAGGTGACCAACATTTCTTCTGTTATGCTTTTATTGTCGGTTTATCGGTCATGTTTCCACCCGTAGTCTCTTTACGACCAAATTCTGTTCTTTTATGAATCCCGATGTCTATTGACTGATTTATTTTTACGGCAAATTTAAAAACAACTAATTGTTGTGACATTTAATGTTACCATCACCTGGTTTGATACGGTTACCTTCTTAATATACCTTGGTACAGACATTTATGGAAATCGTTCCCAAAACAGGGTTTTTAACTCAGAGTTTACAAATGCAACATTTTAAGAGACTCTGCTTCTGCTCTTTACGATTCTATTTTGAATTTCTTCACCCTTGTCACTATTCTCACCTCTCTCTCCCAAGAACTCGACAGAGTTGGTTACATAAGTTGCATGTTTAAACCACGAGTATAAAAACGGATTGGTCTCTTTTTGCAGTTATTTTTCCGTTCCGTACTTCTTGCTTACATCCCCTAAGAATTCAGAAGAACTGGAGGAGAGCTACTTTTCTGTAAAGCTAGTCTAAAGTCTATGCAGTCGGTGTAACAACAAACATTTTACTTAAAAATATGTCTTGCTGCAAATAGTGTGCTAGACGACCTAACGACAGATCCCGGGTTCAAATCTCAGCGGACGGTGAAAAATTTTTAAATACTTGTGAAAATAATTCAAAAATCTTCACCAGACGAAATATATCCGAAACCCCCTGTAAGAATAACTAAACTTGGCGTCAACATCAAAAAATGAGGATAATTCAAAAGAGTAATGTCAGATACATGGCAGCCCCATCAGCTAGGATAGATTGCAGAAACCAGTAATCTACTTAGCAGGAAAAATGTTAACTTTATACTAAAAATAAAAACTGTTACAATTTAAATATAGCCTCTCTTTAAAGGAATTTAAAATTTAAATTACATTCTGACTTGTTGTAAACAAAGAATTTATAATCCAAGAGAGATGAAATTGGGATCAGCTTATTTAATTGGCCCAAGGTCAAACTCTCGTCAAATTCGTAAAAATCGGTTCAGATTTATATTTCATGTAAGTGTTGCACCAAACCCAACCTTTGTTAGATTGATTCAATTCGCCGATTTGACCGACCGACGTTTGTTCTGTCGTGACGGAATTTTGCACAGTGTACTAAATTGATTGAGACGAAATATAATGGATATACCGATATCCATATGTCTATCCCATTAATACGAAAATTTACCGGTAAACCTATAGATATATATAACACATATTTAATTCTCCTCTCGTCCGACTTTGGCATTTTCCTTAATAGTTTTAAATTGTAAGGACTTTGTGGATAGTCGGCTCTAAGGGGTTCTAATACGAATAGATTTCAATACAGATTAGGCAATTAAATTGATATATTCAATTTTTGCTGAAATCAGTTCAGATTTAGATATAGCTCTCATATATATAGTTTGTTCCGATTTTAGGTAAATGGTGCACCAAACTCTCAAAATTTGTCCGATTGAGACATAATTTTGCATTAGGTCCACTTTGATGTATACAAAGTTTTGTTTTAATCGATTCTGATTTAGATATAGTTCCCATATATAGTTACGTCCGATTTTATGTAAATGGTGCACCAAAATCCCAATCTTGGTCCGATTGAGACGAAATTTGGCATAACGTATAAAATTGAGACTAGGATAGAGTGTGTTAAGTTTCATTGAAATTAGATCCGATATAGATATAGATATAACTCCTATATATAGTTTCGTCCGATTTTATGTAAATGGTGCACCAAGCTTCCAATTCTGGTCCGATTCGAACGAAATTTGGCATAACGTATAGAATTGAGACTAGGATAGAGTGTGTTAAAGGGACCCCCCCATTCTCGGGGTCAAACATTTTTTTGATTTAATTCGAATCTACACTAATTGAAGAATGTCCATACAAAATTTCAAGTGAAAATCTCAATAAATCTTGAAGATATAACCGATTTATTGTGTCAGCATCAAGTGACGGCTAAAGGGCTTCTCAAACTTTAAACGCGTTTATCTCTTTTGCGAATGGCGGGCACGATAACTCAAAAACTAATAACCCAATCGATTCTAAACTTTTACACGTTTCTCTGTGAGTGTATAGCTATCGTATGAATTATGATAAAGCCAATCGGTGAAGATCTTCCCTATTTTTTAACTTGGTTATTGGTCAAAAATCGGCGATTTTCCAAAAATATTTTTTCAAAGGTCCGCCATTTTGTTAATTTTAGAGCGAAGTCAATAATCCTAGTTCATACAAGAGCCAGAAATGTACTCTTTCTAACACCGTTGGAATTTTCGAATTCCGACGTTCCAGTGAGAGTTATCATGCCCGCCATGAAAAATAAGGACTTTTCTTTAATTACAAAAAACAACAACAAAACAATAAGGGTTCCCTTAAGTTTCATTGAAATTGGATCCGATATAAAATATAGCTCCCATATATATTTTGGTCCGATTTTAGATAAATGCTGCATCAAACTCCCAATATTTGTCCGATTGAGACAACATTTTATACAGCGTACTGGAATAGGCCCAGTTTGAATTATGTGAAGTTTTCTTGAAATCGATTAAGATTTAGATATAGCTCCCATATATATTTTCGTCTAATTTCATGCAAATGGTACACCGAGGAGCTTATGTTTTTTCGCTTTACATTAAATATTACAGAGAGTATTGGATTGAAATTTGTTGAAATCGGTTGAGGTTTAGATATAAGTTCCACATATATTCCCATCCGATTTCATCTAAATGGTGTGTGTACCAAATAACTAAAGTTTTTCCGATTGGGACAAATTTCTGTTGGATTTTGTAAAAAATATTAAGATGTAAATATAGACCCTATATATTTTCGTTTGAGTTCATTTAATTTGTGCTCCAAATAATAATGGTTTCTCCTAGGGAGATGAAATTGTGGACAGCGCAATGTGCTGCAGCATACTAATAGTGTATGCCACGGTTGCTCAATTAGGCCCTGATTTACTTCTAGCTCCCATACATAATTTTGCTGGTTTTCATACAAATGGTACATTTTCCATTTTTATGTTATTTACGGAATGTTCTCATTGAAGTGGCTACAATTTGTCATATCGGATTCCTTGTGAATAAAAAATATTTTCAGATTTTAATTAACAAAGGTTAATTTTTGAAAATAATCCCCATACAAGTCGGCTTGGCTGAACTTAACCACGTTTGTTAGTAGGAAAATTTGCTATACATTGGGAACCCAAAGAATATCGATCCGATTGAAAACAAAATGTGGCCAAAATGGAGAATATTGGGTGTACCACTATATGGGTGTTATACTAATACGCCATGTAATATTTCGTCATCAAGAGTCTTGTTGACTTTCTGCCCAATCATTCTCCAATAATGTTTCAACCTCGCCCATTTTTGATGTTAAATCTTGATTCTATAAACTTTTTTGGCCGTCGAACTTCCCTGCTGCATACTGCCTTCCGAAATGAATGCAATGCATTTCCATGGCAGATACTTAAATAAGAACTCAACTCAACACTTTGTTGATTTTGTGAGTCTTCGTATTTTTTATAAATTAAAATCATATGATCTAATAACAACAAAAGTACAGCAACAACAACTTTGAGTCAATAACATTATTATTTGTTTGAGTTGGAATAAATTTATCGAACAAAGAAAATTTTAAATGTTGACACACACAAAACGCATTTCTACCATCCCGGGCGAATACAACAGGTAGCTGCTACTTAGTGCAATTATCATATGATACGATACGACACACAATATACGAACAGTAAATATAAATATGGGATTAAAAAATGTATAACAAAGAACAAACGTTCTCACTTTTTCCACTACTCCCACTAGATAAGATATCTACATCTTCTTCTTCTAGAAATAAATAAAAAATATTCATATCAAAACATGTCGTGTCAAACAAAAAATGAGTATTGTCGTAGTCATTTCTGTTGGGGGAGTTTAGATAAATAAACACAATGATTTGAAATAGAACTTTCTATTCTACGTTTTTATGTTTACATGTTCATTTTATTAAGTTTGGCGTATTGAATTTAATAATTAACGGAATGACTCATTTTTAATGATTTTCAATAAAAAATAATAAATTGTAGTAAACATTTCTAAGTTCAAATTTGCCTAATTTATTTGGAAAATTAGGAAAATTAATTTTTCTAATGAATTTAATTTAAAATGTGGATAATTGTATTAGATAATCAATTGATAACGTCAATTTCAATAATCTGAAATAATCCTCTGTTCCTAATCTAAGATTAAAATTTCATTTAGAAAAATAATTTAAGTGCTTTATATTATCACTGGCGGATACTGTAATTTATATTGAAGTAATTTATATAAGGTTACTAAAAGAAGACAACAACTCGCAAATCAAAGATCAAATAAAATTAATTGCAGCGAGAGATAAATGTGCATCGCTCCACTCACTTTCTCTGCTTATCAATTCTTCATACTCATTTACATACATAAATAATTTATGTTCATATATTAGACTGGGTCGTAGAAATCAATCGGTTTTTAAAACGTTATGAAAACTTTTTGAAAGACAATATGAATAATATTTTTTAACGGTACGATAATGGGTCACTGAAATAAAAGGTGAGATGACTTAGGCGTACCGCAGGGAGAGTGTTTTGAAATTCAATGTGTAACGCTGATTTCTGTATACTAGACTGGTGGCAATGATAACTGCTGATTCCGAGACGGGCCATTTTGCTGGTATCGAAATCTTACTCGTTCAGTTGCAGTTGTTTTTGCACCTTCCATATAAGGTTATGTTATTTTGGGTCACCGTCAGGTGTTCTTGTTTGTGGATTCCATTCAGGCGCCATAGTGGTTATGTTATATACATTTTTTCTTAAGGTATGCCCAATCAATCTTCATTTCCTACATTTAATCTATTCGGGTTCTTGGTTCCACATCTCAATTTTACTTATGCTGTTGGGCCAGAATATTCTGCACAGGAGGCACAGGGTTCACTGCCGCATCGCAGTGATCTTCTCCATACACCTTGCAGTCATCAGAATTGTTAGTCTAAAAATTAAGTCCGTTTCATCATCACCACTTATTCTCACAGGTCTTCTTCTTCTTTTGAAAATCAAATAGTAACGGTGAAGAAAATATCCCAGAACCAATTAGTCGGCTGCAGAATAATAAATCAGAAGGTGCCAATGGATTACCAGCCTATTCAAAACCTGTGGTCAGATGCTGATCAAGAGTACGTACCAACGGATAAGTACAATTTGGCTAGAGGAATGCTTGCCCAATAATTGGAACCTCAGCATTCCTGCAAAATGAATACGACTATGCAAGATAACTATAACATGATAACTTTAATTAAAGAAGGAAAGGACCTCTCGGAGCTTTTCAATACCGAACGAGAATTCAGACAAAGGGAAAATTTGTGGTGTGACCTTTTTAACATCCTGCTGGAAAAGGTCATACGATATGCGAATAGACCCTCCCCGAGAGAGAGACGGAACCTTCCAAAGTGGTAATAGCAGTAAATGGCGAGAAGACCAAGCTGATGGTATCAAGGAGCAAGACTTCCAACAGACACGGACCAACTGTGTAACTTGAAAACTAAGGCTTCGAGGTAGCGAACGATGTTATATACCTTGGTTCCGTCATAAACAAAACTAATAACGTCAGCTTTGAAAACTGGAGAAGAATAGTGTTGATCAATAACTATTCAAAAACAAGGCCACCTCTGGCCAGACAAAACTCACACTCTACAAGACGCTGATACTATTCGTGCTGTTATATGGATCTGAAGCATGAGTATTTGCGCAAGCAGATAAAGCAGCACTTGAAGTGTTTTTGATAAATTAACCGAAAGATATACGGGCCGATCTGCGTTAACGGTGAATATCGGCGTCGAATGAACCACGAGCTGAACAATCTATTGTCGGACATCGACATAGTCAAACGCGACTACGGTGGCTAAGCTATATTGTGCGAATGGATGCGGATGTTCCAGCACAATCGGCATATAAAAGTGAGCCTACTGACTGTTCGCGTATAAGGGGAAGGCCACAAATTCGATTAGAAGACCTAGTTGAGGATTGATGTTCTGTCACACCATTATTTAATCCGGCACAATTGTGAACAGTATCAGTGACAGAGGACCGTCTTCTCTGGGTGCGGAATGGTTGGCTTATATTATCGTTGTAAAGAAATTAAAGTGCTCCATCCCCCGCTTTTATTATTCGCATTATTTTCTGGTTAACCCCTTTTTTTCAATCGTATCGAATACTTTGTTAAAGTCAAAATGAAAAAAATCGCTCTTGCTAACACAAATTTAAGGGAACATCCCCCCCTACATTCTCGATTTTAATTTTTCAAGATTTTCAATGGGCTGGTAAATCAATACCAATGCTTGTTTAGGTTTGTAACTTTGCACATATATATTTGAAGATTTAAAAGAGAAGAAAAATAATTTACGAAAAAAATTTGTTGTTGTTTTTTGTAATTAAAGAAAAGTCCTTATTCCAGTCCGATATTCCAGTGTGGAATTTTTATGATAACTCCACACTGGAATATCGGAATCCGAAAATTCCAACGGTGTTAGAAAGAGTACATGTCTGGCTCTCGTATGAACTAGGATTATTGACTTCGCTCTAAAATTAACAAAATGGCGGACCTTTGATTTTTTTTTTTTTTTTTTTTGAAAATCGCCAATTTTTGACCAAAAACCAAGTTAAGAAATAAGGAAAACCTTCACCGATTTACTTTATCCTAGTTCATACGATAGCTATACACTCACAGAGAAACATGTAAAAATTTGGAATCGAATGGGTTATTAGTTTTTGAGTTATTGTGCCATCCATTCGCAAAAGAGAAAAACGAGTTTAAAGTTTGAGAAGCCCTTTAGCCGTCACTTGATGCTGACACAATAAATAGGCTATATCTTCAAGAGTTCTTGAGATTTTCACTTGAAATTTTGTAGGGACATTCTTGAATTAATGTAGATTCGAATTAAATCAAAAACAATTTTGACCCCGAGAATGGGGGGGGGCCTTAATGTGAAAAAATCATTTTGAATGTCCATCTCATTGTGGAGGATATATTAAGTTTGTCCTCTAAAAACCAGAAATGTCTAATTGCATTGAATTTTTATAAAAACGGCTATAGAGAGGATCCCTTTTATTGAAGCTATTCCGAAGGTGGCTGATAATTTGTATTTTTTGGACAAAATAAATAAAAGGGGTCGTAAAAATCACAGGTCTAATCATATGAAATTTAAAATTAGGATATAACAGCTTTAATTTTTGAAGAATTTGATATTATAATAATAATTATTGACAACATTTGACAAAATAATTGTGCATAGAAACATAAGTAGTAATTTGTTATTGTGAATAAAAATCACGACCCACTCTAATATAAATGCACAAATACTCGTAATGCTGTTTGTTTGTATGTTATCGCAGCATATTATTATTTATGTTTGTTGTTTTACAAATCTTGGCGATATTGATAACTGCAATTTAATAGAGAGATGTGCATATTTGTCATTCTCTCTCCGTTTGTTCTTTTTAACAACAGAAACCGGCCGGTTTTCTTATCAACTGCCTCTCCTTCCATATTTCTCATCAAAACAAAGAGACAAACAATTTGTTTGCGAGACCCCACAAAACTCTGAAGGGGTTTCAAAGGCTTCAGTTATTCGGTGGCATTGCTAGAGTGCAGTTGAAAGTGGAACTAGAAAACAAGTGCTGATCTTAAAAAAAAACACACACAATTATTATATTATTTTGTTTTGTGTATAAATTTGTGCATTAAAAGTATTTTTTTTAGTTTAATCAGTTGTTGATAATTTACTTGTCATAATGCCAATTGTGCAAACAGGTAAGTGCATAAATTGAAGATCTTTCCATTGGATCTAATCTATGTATGTACAATGCGTTTATACGGCAATCATAAACTAATAATTTTTTTTTGTGGGCTCTATTCGGGTGGTATTATTTGAATTTATCTCAAATAATTTGGGTCATTTCAAAACAAAAATGCAAGTAATAAAATTGATTTATGATCGTAACTCGTGATTTTTTTCTTAAAAAATAAAAACAAAGATAATATTTAGTGTTTAACAGATTTTAGATTATGGAGTATTTTGATGCCTCGTTTGTATTACGGACTACAAATTTCTAGATGTATATACGTGACGATATGACTTAATAACTTTGATTTTAAATAATTCAATTTATTCCACAAAGATAGCTACCTTAATAGGACAATGGTCATCATTGGAAAGCCTAATTTATTATTAAAAATAGTTTAAAAAATATACTTTAGTTAGACTAATTTAAGGATCATTGCTCCATCAAGACAATTCTGCCAGGACAATATGGCTATATTTTAAAATGTTATTCAAATTATTCTCCTATCGCATTTTTAACAATATTCAATAACGAGTATATTTTAAATCAACAGACCAAGCAAGATTTTACAGAAGTTCTAAAACTCGAAACAACGGCATCACAAATATCAGGTGATTTTAGAGAGGTTCCATTCCGAAAAATATACTGCCTTAGCACTATGGATATTTGATTTTAATTGCAGAACATTTCGATCTGCATATAGAAGGAATGGATGCTGTGAGGGCATTTTATATAAAAATAGTCCACTTTATAAAGAGGTTCGATTCCGAAAAAAATTATAAAAATATTTACTATACGTACCACTATGGGCCAATATTATGGGGTGGTTTATATACAATGAAAAAATCCGAGTTTTATATAGGACTCATTTAAATTTGAACACACATTTTATGTTATAATTTAAAGAAAATATTAGACCAACGGGTATCTGCAGTGTATATTAAAGGAAAAATAAAGGAAGCGAGGTTCTTACTTACAGAACCGTTGTTCCATATGCCGAGCTTAAAAAAGGTTTCCAAGCGCGTCGATCTTGTGCACATCACATCTCATCCAATTTGAAAAACCTTGTTCCAAGATATTGTCTTCTACTTGATCTTTCCATCGGATTCGTGGCCTTCCCCTTCTGCGTGAACGATCACTCGGCTCACTTTTATATGCATTTTGAGCTGGGGCATCTTCATCCATTCTCACAACATGACCTAGCCAACGTAGTCGCTGCAGCTCAATTCGTCTGACTATGTCAATTTCCAAGCGCGTCGGTCTTGAGCGCATCTCATCCAATTTGAAAGACTATGTTCCGATATGTTGTCTTCTACTAGATATTTCCATTGGATTCGCGTCCTTCTCCTTCTGCGTGAACCTTCACTTGGCTTGTTTTTATATGCCTTTTGAGTGGGGGAATCATCATACATTCTCACAACAAAACCTAGCCAACGTAGTCGCTGCAACTCGATGGTTCATTCGACGACGATATTCGCCGTCGATGCAGATCGATGCTTGCGCAAGTACTCGTGCTTCAAACTAGAGGTGTGTAACGAAAAAATTCTCAGAGAACAAATGAGAAACCGCCATACGAAATGACTTACTAAAAGAGAACGCAGAGAACGAAATTTTTATACATGTAAACAAGGGCACCAGTTCCCATGGTTGAACAGGGCTACTTCAGACCCATATAACAGCAAGGGTAATATCAGCGTCTTGTAGAGTGTGAGTTTGGTCTGGCGAGAGGTGGTCTTGCTTTTGAGTTGCTTACTCAGACCATAGTTGCATCTGTTGGCCAAAACTATTCTCCTCCGGATTTCAAAGCTGATGTTATTAGTTTTGTTTATGGCGGTACCAAGGTATGTAAAATCGTTGACTACCTCGAAGCTGTAGTTCTCAAGTTCCACAGCTTGGTCTTATCGAGGTTTACAGCCCACTTCTTAATTTGTTCAAAGGTGGCGGTTACCGCTTGCATTGTTCGACCCATTATGTCGATGCCATCGGCGTAGGCGGGTAACAGTTTTGGTGTACAGGGTGCCATTTCTGTTCACCTTTGCCTCTCGTATGACCTTTTCCAGCAGGATGTTAAAAATATCACAGGACAAACTGTTACCTTGTCTGAATCCTCGTTCGGTATTAAAAAGCTCCGATATGTCCTTTCCGAATTTACCTGCTGCACTTGAACCAGTTAATGTTATCCTGCATAGCCGTATTAATTTTGCAGGAATGCCGAATGCAGACATGGCTGAAAATACTCCTGAACGGATAGGACTGTCGAATGCAGCTTTAGAGTCGACGAATAGGTGGAATGTGTCGATGTGTTTTTCGCGGATCTTTTCCAGGACTTGGCTCAGAGTGAAAATCTGGTCAATGGTGTATATGCCAAGTCTGAAGCCGCATTTGTAAGGTCCAATAATGTCATTGACTATTGACTTCAGTCGTTAACACATCACGCTATTAAACGTCCCGTATAATGTAAACGTACTATAAGTATCGAAGTACGTGGTAATATTTCATTCAAACATAAATCAAGTTCGAAGATGGGGAACATCGGTCCACTCTTACCTTTCCAATTATAACTTTCTAACAACGTCTTATATCGCATTTATGCTCTATTAAAATTTAATAAAATCTTCTTCCTCTTTTTCCTCTCTTTCACAGTTTTGGGACCAATTGATCCAAATCTTTTGGGTCGCACCCTCACCCATGAACATATTTCGTTGGACTTTGAGCATTTCCACTGTGCTCCGCCAGAGGATTTCAAACCATTCTTTGAGGGAAAATTGCGTATGGAAAACTTGGGATTTGTACGCCAATATCCATACTCAAGCTTGGATAATACACGCTTCTATGATGAGGAAACTCATGCTGCCGTCCTTAAGGACATAGAGCTTTATAAGAAATTTGGTGGTGGTACCATTGTGGAGAATAGCAATCATGGCTTGAAACGTAATTTGGAATTTATGGTTGAGACCAGCAAGAAAACTGGTGTACATATTGTCGCCGGTACTGGACATTATGTCCATGATTTGCAAGAGAAGGATCATCTCAATATGACCGTGGAACAAATGACCGATTTGTATTCGAGGGAAATTATCACCGGCGTTGAGGTAGAAGGTGTAGGCATGGTCAAGTGTGGTTTCATTGGTGAAGTTGGTAGCGTGTATCCGATACATGGTAGGCAGATGATTAAAAATATTTTATTTTTAGATATTTACTAATTTATTGTTTTTATTTTTTTCCTAGATTTCGAAAAACGTGCCATAAAGGCCACCGGCGAGATCCAAGAAGTCTTGGGCTGTGGTGTTTCCTTCCATCCGGGCCGTGAAGCTGAGGCTCCCTTTGAAATTGTCCGCATGTATTTGGAGGCTGGCGGCAAGGCCTCCAAATGTGTTATGTCCCATTTGGATCGCACCATCTTGGATATTGATCAACTTTTGGAATTTGCCAAAATGGGCACCTACATCCAATACGATCTCTTTGGCACTGAATGCTCCTTCTATCAGCTCAACTCGAATGTGGATATGCCATCGGATGCCCAACGTATTAATAATTTGATGCGTTTAATTGATGAGGGCTATGTTGATAGGATTCTTATGTCTCATGATTTGCATACCAAGCATCGTTTGGTAAGTAGTTGAGAAAGGAGATTTTATTTCTTATGACAATTTTAATCATTTTTGTATTTATTTCTTTGCAGTCTTCCTTTGGTGGCCATGGCTATCATCATGTTCATATGAATATTTTACCACGCATGTTTGCCAAGGGTCTCTCTGTGGAGCAAGTCGAACAAATGACTGTTGTCAATCCTGCCAAATGGTTGGAATTTAATATTTAAACGATGATATACTGCCTTTTAAACACTTTAATCGTTTCTTTACAATTTTTAAAGTCATGATATTTGAAATGTATTATATCTCATTTTATTGCTGTTCATATTTATATTTAATTATATTTGTAAAGTAATATCTTTATTCCTATATTATATTTTTAATAAATCCTTACAAATATAAAGTCCTCAAAAAGTAGGTGTATTTACTGCTTAAATCAGAACATACACATGTAAATGTCTCAAAAATTGAAAAATGTATTGGCAGATTAATTTAAAATCTTTTAAATCATAATTTCGGTAAAAATAACAACTCTTCTACAAGCTTACAATTAAAATGAAAAATCGTAAAAATTAAATTCTTACTAGGCGTTCAGAATTAGTTAGTTATTATCATATCCTCCCTGTACAACCAATAGTTTTCACTATTTCTGTTAATTTCTACCAGACTCACAGAAAGAAATATCCCAATTTATCAATTATTTTATCAACGTCTTTTATACAAAATTATAAATTGCCACGAATTGGAAACATTTTTAATTGTACCAGGTGCCCATAAATATATGTTTTCACAAATAATACGTATTTTCAATTGTAACAGGTAAACAGAAAGAAACCCCATTTTGTAGTCAACAATTTTAACATTTTTTAATAAAAAATATGTTCTTATAGAACAATACTTTAAAAATAGATTTTTTAAGGACTTTTTACTTTTTAAAACATTTTTAGAACAACTAATTATAAAATTATTTTTTAGAAGTAATCAATAAGCGTGATTTTTTATATAAACACATTTTTTTGATTTCTTAGAAGACATAATAGGCGTGAATTTATAAAAAAAAATATTTCTTAATATTTTTTGAAGAACAAAGTAGGCGTGGATTTTTTAAAAATATTTTTGAAAAAATAGTAGTCGTGGATTTTTTTTTAAAATATATTTTTTAAAATTTTTGTAAAAATTGTATGCGTGGATTGTTTAAAAATGTTTTTGAAAAAATAGTAGGCGTGGATTTTTTAAAAATATATTTTTTAAAATTTTTGTTAAAATTGTAGGCGTGGATTGTTTAAAAATATTTTTTAAGAACTACGTGTTTAGGAACTAGGGGGATTTTTAAAGGTATACTTTTTGAAAAAAATGTGTGGGAGTGGATTTTTTCAAAATATATTTTTAAGAACTATGTATTTAGGAACTATGAGGATTTTTAAAAAAGTATATTTTTTGAAGAAAAATATGTAGGCTTGAATTTTTTAAAATATATTTTTAAGAACCAGGTGTTTATGAACTAGGAGGATTTTTAAAAAAATGTGTAGACATGGATTTGTGTTAAAATGTGAAAAACTGTATGGGCGTGGATTGGTGTTAAAAAATATGTTAACACTGTGTAGGTGTGGATTTTCGTTAAATGAAATATTTTTCGACGAACTAAATATACAGGTGTGGATTTCAAAAAAAAAAAAAAAAAAAAAAATTGGGCTAATATAGACAAATGTTTGGTAGGGAAATTTTTTATGCAACGATAACCTAAAATTGCTGCCAATTTGGTTGAAAAATGTTCTCAAAATCTCTAAAATTTCGAAATTTTGGAAGTAATATTTAGCAGGAAGATTTGCCAACCTCTAAGAACCCAATGTACCAAATTTCAGCCAATTCTGTTGAAAACGCGTTCAAAATCTTCAAAATAACATCAGCAGTTCTTACCATTAATATGGCCAAACTACGCCATAATTTCCTTAAATTCGCACTTAAAGTCATTAATTGAACCTTATACTACACGTTTACATCGATTTTTATCAAAAAATTTAATTTTTTACCTTCAAATTTAATGATACAGTTGTTCACGTTATTCCCTTATTTTAGGCAACAATTTACCTCATAATTAATATTTCTTTCTAATACACATAAACTACACTTTTTTCCCTACCTTATGGCACATATTTCATTAAAATTGGCCAATCCGTTGCTGAGATATAGCCATTTATATTTTACCTTCTGTCAAAATAACGCTGCTACACGATTCTGTTTGCCTATTACCTCATTTTTTGGCGAACACATGAATTTACAATTCCAATTTGTGTTATAACATGTAAGGTTGCCATATTTTTCGATAAAATGAAAGCAGCCCGCATAAGCGTTCATAATGTAAAGCATACTCTTAGGCGCTAAAATATCCCTCGGCGTATGTGACACCCTGCTTTTAATGAAACACCCTGTATTTAAAGAAACTGCCTGCATTAAATGAAATGAAACAAGTGTTTTTTATTGTAATATTTTTATTGGTGTTTTTTTTTATTTATTGAAAATAAAATTGTATATATAATAATAATAATTATTATATATTTATAGATATAATTTCTTGTGTTTTATTTTACGGTTTTTTATTGCATATTAAATATATATAATTTTTGATTTTTTATTGTATGTTTGTTTTCCCTTAAGAAGTTTGTTTTTTTTCTTATTTTATTTTAATAATAATAATATTTTTTCAAATTAAACATTTACATTAAAGAAGCAAATATGTATAGTAATTATCTTTATACAGAAAAAACATAAATTTAGACAAATTACAATATAGATAGAGAGATAGAGAAAACAATTTAAACCAAATACAATATTGATAGAAGGACTAAAACAATTTCAATTAATAACTATTTTAAAAAATCATAATTAAAACATAATATCTATAAACAAAATATTTATATAAACAAAAAATAATGAGAATATTCGTATTTGAATTTCGAAGAGCACGACACACATGTATGGTGCTTTATTCTTAGAATTGATTGCAAAATTTTTATTGTATTTATATAAGGAATTTTTAATAATAGTTATGCATTTAAATTAATAAAACAAGTATTTGTCAGAAAATCGTGGTAATTAATCATTTGTAAAAAGTATAGAAATTAAAAGTCTATCAACAAAATATATTCCACAAATTGTTTTTATTCATAAAATCCCATTTTGTTTTTGTGGGGAAAGTATGTTCGCCAAGTGGTGTAAGGCAGAAAAGACCTAAAATTTTTCCGTATTCCTTCGAGATGAAGGGAGCTTTGTTAGTTTGAATGAATCCAAGGAAACATACAATTATTAAAAATTAATTCCTTGAGGTTTTTCCAAATTTCCTTTGGAAATATTTTCTTGATAGACCTTAATTTATATACAGGGTGACTTCAAATGTACGGACGCAAAATTCAATACATTCTACTTATGGATAGAAATTTCAATATATCCATTAGTATGAGAAAAACATAAACATTTCAAAATAAGTCAAGTCCAACATGATGAGGTTATATTGAATTCACAATTTTTTTAAAAGGGATTTAAATCCGTACGAAGTAGAATTGTACCTTAAAATTTGCCGAACCCAACTTTGTATAACCTCCAGAGACAGAGGTTGAAATAGAGCGCCTAGAACCTTAGAAATACTGGAAAAGGTGTGGGACATTTATATCTTGGCAAAGAGGTCTGTTATGCTCTAAAAATACAAAGTGACAAAGTCGTTTGGAAAATGTCTCAATGCTATAAACTCTCCATAATATTTTTCCAAGAACTATATTAGGCTTGACTTTTTTAAGGATTTTTTTCCAAGGACTATATGAGGAGTGGATTTTTTAAAAAATATTTTTTCGAAGGATTTTATGAGGCGTGGATTTTTTAAAGAATATTTTCTCAAAAGGTTTTTATGAAGCGTACATTTTTTTAGATAATATTTTTTGAAGGACTATATGAAGCGTGGATTTTTTAAAGAATATTATTCCAAGGACGTGGATTTTTTAAAAAATATTATTCCAAGGACTGTATGAAGTGTAGATTATTTAAATAATATTTTTCCAAAGACTACATGAGACGTAGATTATTTAAAGAATATTATTCCAAGGACGTGGATTTTTTAAAAAATATTTTTGCAAGGATTATATAATGCATGGATTTTTTAGAGAATATTTTTCCAAGGACTATATGAGGCGTAGATTTTTTAGAGAATAAAAACTCCAAGGACTATATAATGCATGGATTTTTTAGAGAATATTTTTCCAAGCACTATATGAGGCGTGGATTTTCTAAAGAATATATTTCCAAGGACTATGTGATGCGATGATTTTTAGAAAATATTTTTTTGAAGCATTATCAGTGCAATAGACTTGTTTAAAGAATATTTTTTCAAGGATTAACAGATCAACAAGTGTTTTTTAAGGAATATTTTTCAAGGTCTACCATTGCTAAAGGCTTAAAGAATATTTTTCAATGATAGTCGGCATATTATTAATGGTTTAATAGAGCAATGATTGTATTTTTTTTTTTCAAGAATGTTTTTGAGGACTATTTTTGGAATAATTAAAGATTATTTAATGAAGGACATAAGAGCTTTAATCGAGGATTTTTGATTGATATAGTTTCAAAGACAACATTATTTTCAAACACATTTATAACAACGTGTATTTTTTAAGATTTTATATATAAAAGTAGATTTTTTAATTCAAAGGGGATCAGATCCATTAGAGTTGACTTTTAATACCGTATATTCAAAAGGCTATCAAATTAATAAATGTCATTTTTATAAGACCTTTTTTAAGGATTATTAATAAAATATTAAGTTCGCGACCGAATTTATTATTAAAATATATGGGTATGTGGTCATATGAAGTTTAAATTTTAAATTTCATATTATTAATTTCTTGTAGTAGACATAAGAAAAATGAGTTGGGTTCGGAATATAGACAAAAATAGCTCGTCTGTATTGAAGTTGACAGATTCTAAAAGGTATATGCTGCTATCTTTATGGCTTATTAAAGTATTCTCTCCGTCAAAATCTAATATAATGTTTTAATGTATCGTTGAACTCATATACAATTTTTTGATTATTTCACATCACACAATTTAACACAATTCAATCATGTAGAATACAAATTATTTTAAGTATTTTTTGGGAGTTTTATCCATACATTTCAAGTCACCTTGTATACATATATTGATCTTGATATGAAGCTTGATTATAATTTGAATTTTCGAAACGACTTCTTGCTTTGGTAGGTTTGATGTTGGTGACATTTTCCGTATTTATATATTTATTATTTGATAATAAACTATTATGTTTATTATCAAATTTTCTATTTCTAAAAAAAAAATATTATAATATTGAAATAGATGGGGACAAATATCAACAATGTGACCGCCTATTTTATTTATGTAAATAAAAGATTTAACAGACAAATATTAGCAACATCATCAAATACAAAGCTATACAAAAATAAAGCCGTTTCAAAATAAATAATGGTATTTAACAAAATAAAAAAATATAATTTCAACTTTCTTTTAAGATTTGGCACATTATACAATTAAAAAACATTATGTATTTATATGTATGATTATATAAAAAAGCACACACACACTTAGTAGTAAATTCAAGGATATTTGTTTTTAGTTTTTTTTTATAAAAAAATTATTACCCACAATTAATATTTGTTATTTGTTTTAAACATTTTTTTTGTGTTTACTTATCAATTCGATGTTGGGTATAGAGTGTTATATAGTAAAATGCTTTATATAAAAATATGTTTGATTATCTTTTCACTTTTCCCACGTTTTTCGCTACAGCAAAAAAGAAACATTCGTTGCCTGGTATTTTTTTTATCAATTGCATTGGATAACATTGCTTTCAGCCTCCACATTATAAATTGGGCGGTATCGATTTTTTGTTTTCAAATGTTCATTTCATTTTAGAGTGTATACTTAATATTAGCTTAAATATTGGTTTCCATTATACTTAACACTTAAAAAATTAATAATAATAAAATTATTATTTTTGTTACATATATAAATAATAAAATAACAGATATGCAATAACACATAGTATATATAAGTATATAAGACACAAAATACAAATAAAATAATAATATTTATGAATTTAAATTACAAAAAAATAATTATATATGCTTAAATTAGAACATTGATGAGATTTCATTACAAATATGAATGTATGTATGCATGTTTTGGATGTAATAGGGGGTAGGGGAATATTTTATATATATGTTCGCGGGGGTATGTATAAATGTAATGTAATTTTTATATGCTATGATTATTATATATTTTGTTTATAGTGTATAAAATGTAAAGTAATGAGTATGGTGTTTTGTTTCAGTTTGTTGTTGTTATTGATGTTCTTCTTCTGCAGAGTATGAGTATGGTGTTTTGTTTCAGTTTGTTGTTGTTATTGATGTTCTTCTTCTGCAGAGTTTAATGACTATTGTCTAAACGTAAAATCAGTGCATCGACGACATTATAAATTTCATCGAAATGTGGACGAGATTCTGGTTCAGCAGCCCAACATTGTAACATTAAACGATACATTTCCGCTGGTGCATTATCGGGTGCTGGCATACGGTAGCCTAAAATACAAATAAAAGAACGTGATTAATTAATAGAATTCGATATATTAAAAAAAATATTTTCTAAGGACTATCATCGTGGATTTTTAAAGAATATTTTGAACAAGAACTATATGAGGCGTGGATTTTTAAAGAATATATAAAAATAAATAGTTTTCCAAGAACTAAATGAGGTGTGGATTTTTTAAAGAATATTTTTCCAAGGACTATCAATATTAGGCGTGGATTTCTTGAAGAATATTATTCCTCAAACATAGTTCTACGCGTGAATTTCTTGAACAATATTATTCCTCAAACATAGTCCTAGGCGTGTATTTCTTGAAGAATATTATTCGAAGTACATAGTCCTAGGCGTGGATTTTTTAAAGAATATTTTCCAAGAACTATCAGAGGTTTAAAATTGGATTTATTAAAGAATATTCTTAAAGGGCTATTAGAGGTTTTGACATAGATTTAATAAGGAATATTTTTAAATTAAGCGGGGATTTTTTTAAATAACATTTTTCAAGGACTGCCATATATATATGTACGGTTTTTTTAAGAATACTTTTTAAAGAATATTGAATTAAATACTAATTTTTTATTATTAAAAAGTAGATATCTATTTCATCAAAGTTATATACTCTATATTATCCATCCTTGCGTGAATCTACATTATTGTTTTTTAACTATTTTCAAAATTTTTCATTTTTAAAACTTTTTACAAAATCGTTCATTCAATACTTACCAGCATCAATTTTCTCCCTAGCCTTGGTATTTGTCATACCCGAATAGGGGGTATCTCCTTTGGAAAATATTTCCCACATTAATATACCATATGACCAGACATCACACAGTGATGTATATTTGCCAAAATTCAAAGCTTCAGGGGCGGTCCATTTGACAGGAATTTGTTTCATGCCATCCGACACTATAAAGAAATAAAAATTATTAATAACATAAATAAATTTAAATAAAGCTATGTTTGCTTACCAATATACTCTTCTTCCTCGCGGGACATTCCAAAATCGGAAATCTTTACGGAACACTCCAAATCGACTAAACAATTGCGGGCGGCTAAATCACGATGTATACAATTTTTCGATTCCAAATAACGCATACCTGTAAAGGAAGGGGGTGATTCGTTATAAGGTATTATAAAAAAAAATGAATGCAATATAATCGGTTTGAGAATTTTAAAATTTTATTGGAAGATAATTTGTCCTTCTATATAAAGACTATTGCCTTCCATATGGCCTTCTTTTCTTCTATAAGCAAACCACGGTATTAAAAGGCGTTCTTGTTGTCCTTTATAATATTTGTGATTATTCTACAAGAAGTTATATATATATATATATTCTATACGAATAGTCTCTGGACTTCAATGGGCATTTTTTATTTTATAGGAAGACCTGCTGGTTTTATAATATTAATTAAGACCGGGATACCTATAAGAACTTATTTATGGAATTATATTACAAGGCTGGACTACTATGAGAAAATTCTTGTTTTGTTCAAAATATGTCCCAGTATTAAGACCATCCGTTATTTTATATGAATAGCTCGCTGTATTATATGTGACTGCATTTTGGCTCATTATAAAAAGAGGATGAATGTTAAAATGTCCTCTTAAAGGGCCTCGGGACATCAGAAAGAAAACTTCAGGTTTTATATATGAAAGTCGGCTTGCTTTCTATAATAAACTTCCTATAAAATATTTCCGGTATTCTAAAGACAGACCTTCAAATCTGAAAATGTATGAAAATACTTTCCGATACATTCCTTTGTATAAACTTTTACTTCATGGAAATATTCTGTTCTACTGTATGAAGAACTGGTATTCCTCCATTATGGCATTCTACTTTTTGGTCACCCATTAGAATACTTTTTAGTCTTACATGGCGATACCTTTTTGTCTTGGAGGAAAAGTTAATCGAAGATATATAGTCTATGATAAGTCTTTTCTGATGGCATTTTCAATTATACAGGTCTTCTTACAAAATAATTCTTGATATTTCTGGTATCCGATGAAAGGACTTTTGGTCTTCTTCTTTTACGAAATATTCTATTACAGTATTCAATTGGTAAGCTTTTTTGTCTTTTATGAGAACATTTTCTGTTTCTCTACAAAAATACATTCTTGTCATATGTAAGAAGAACTTCAGATCATGTTCCACATCTTTTGATTTTCTATGAGTATATTTTCTGGGCTTCTACGTTAACACTTTTTTTTTTCTAGGAGAAGATTTTTTTTATTCTTATATGAATAGATATTTCGCTCTTCCAAAACAAGCTTCTTTAGTTCTTCATAGAGAAGACATTCTGATCTTTTAACTATTTTTTCGTCAGTGTAGTTAATCAATATTGTAGTAATGAAAAACTTACCAGCTGCTGCATCACGACACATTCCCATTTGTTGTCGTGTTGTTAGATTATTCGAATTCTTGCGCAAATAGTTCAGCAAGGAGCCACCTATTTGAATTTGAAATACAATATAAATTTAGTGAATTATAGGAAAAAAATATTTTTTTTCAACTAACCTGGCACCAATTCCATAACAATCATTATCGGTTGCTTTTGCACACAAATACCAATCAGTTTGACAATATTTGGATGATCATACTGCTTGAGGATACGACCCTCTTGTAAGAATTTACGTTTCTGTTCATCGGGTAATGTCATACGGCAAGTTTTGACGGCCACATCTTTTTTGGTTGATTTCAATTTGGCTTTGTAGACATCACCAAAGTTACCCTAAAAACAACAAATAAATTACAAATTAATATAATCATCTAACAAATTCGAATTTCATGATAAACTTACCCGACCAATTTTCTCGCACAGCACAACATCATCATTGCTTAGTTCCCATATTTCTCGGCGTATTGGCGTTCGAAGGATAGCACCTGATTTAACTGTAACTGGCAACTCAGATTGATATTGATGTAAGATCAGCTCTTGTATACTTGGGAATGGTGGTCCTTCAAAACGGAAATGACCATCCACTGTTGTCTGAACTATAAAATGTTTGTGTCCATTCCAGCAGACACTCAAAACAATTTGACTCTCTTCATTGCGTATGGTTTCACGCACTAGGAAATCTCCTTCATTGTTGAGCAGGCGTACAACTTCTTCGCGTGGCAAGACACCATGGAACCATTCTTCTTCGTAGAGCGGGCGATTTGTTGAGAGGGAGACCTAAAGAGAGATTTGCAAAAAGAAATCATTATTAGTAAAAAATGTTAAGTTATTTAGATGGATATTAGTTTGTATTATTAAAACCAATAAAACAACAATAAAAAACGAAAAGCATAATAAACAAATTAAAATAAACAATTAAATTAAAATTTTGTTAAGAAAATTAAAAAATTAACATCTAAAAATAGCTCATGCATTTTTTTGTTCTTTATATCTAAATTTAAAAATAAAGAAAAAAGTTATAAATTTTGCAGATGCATTTGGTGATTATGGTGCACACTGTTTGTTTTTCGCTGCAGATGCATGATATACTTGGATTTAATCCAAAAATTAATAGATATTGAGTTTTTTTTTTTTGGAAATTTACGTCACTATATATTACAATGTTTTATATTTTTCACCATAGCAAGAAAATATATGTGTGTTCATTTTGGAACGAACCATTATATAAAAAAATTCGTGATTTTCCAAAAAAAAAAGAAAAAGAAACATTTATTTCATATTCAAAAATGTATATTTTTTAAATACATTTTTTATATAAATTATAATCTGTGATAAAATTAAAATAATGTGATTATATGGTACACATTTTTTAAAAAATAATTTAAATAAGTAAAAACGTCGTTAGGCTAATCTAAATACCCTGGCTTGCACCTTGAAAGTAGGACAATGAGTTGAGTAAATAAAATATATATTTACAACGAATCAGACTTAATACTTAAGATTACAGACTTAATACCAAAATATGGTACCGTTATATAAGGGCTGTCCTAAAAAGTGCACCGACATTGTTAATTATACCTTCAGCCTTATGGCTAATAATTGTGTAGAACAGTTTTGGAAGAACTTACTTACAGCCATCGGCTGTGTTGGGTACCAGGTCACCGTTACATAATGGGTAATGAAAGAGCAGACGAATTAGCTACACGAGGATCTCAATCTACAGATCTAGCAATTTATGGCTCAATCAAACCAACCATATGTCATTTTTATCGAAGCTTTGAGGCGTTCTTCGAGGAAAGAGCGAACTTTGGCACAACGAACCTAGGTGCAATGTGTCAAGGTCTATTTGGCAGACTCTGTCTACCAAAAGGACACACTCATTGTTGAACCTGAGCAAAGCTGAAATAAGAGTAATGACAGGAATCATTACTGATCATTGCAATATCAGGGCCTTCACCTGTGAATGGGACCATGATGCTACTGATTACTGTAGACTCTGCGTTGACGAGGAGGAGACGGAGGCAATTGAGCATCTACTCAACAACGGAATCTGTTCTAATATACAGCATCATTAAAAACGTAAAGTTGTTGGGAAAGAGCAAACTTGACACATACTATATCTTCTGTCCGATCTCTATAGCCCTCGATACTATCTTATACTCCCTTCTAAGCTTCTCATCGATACACTCCTTCTGGGACCTAACCATAAAATGGTAAAAACGGTGCTGAAATGCCTTTTATAATTTCATGCGAATAGAGCATGGCACAAGTACCTAGTACCTCCCCCACAAAGGGTCAACATTTTGAAACATTGTAATTACCCAAATTTCATAAAAACTTTGCTCATCGTAATATTTTTACCGACCCTAGATCGACTACAAAAATAGGACCCACCGGCCATTCCTCCCACTTCCCCACAATGGGTCAAAATTGTTGATAATTTGTTAATCCATTTGTTAATTAATGGAAGTCGATGTCAAAAAAACAATGGTATGGAATGTCCGATTTGGTGACAAATATAAACATCATAATATTTCTTTCATACTTTATTCAAGTTGGAAGATGGAAGTCATCAGTCCATTCTTTTTTGGTACCTCCTACACAAAATAGTTAAAATGTTGCTAAAAATTAATTATTAGAGAATGTGAACGGACAATCCGATTTGAACTAAACTTTACACAACATAATAATTTAACCATGCATTTATTATTGTTGGAAGATGGGACTTATCGGTTCACTCCTGCTAGAACCACAAAGGGTTAACATTTTGAAAACTTGTAAATCTCATATGGAGCGAACGGAAGAATATCAGAATATCAGAAGAAGAATATTGTAATTGGTAATATATTTAACTTTCATCTATCAATGTTGAAGATGGGACCCGTTGTTCCACTCCTTCTTGTACCTCGCTCAAAAAAATGTCTACATTTCCAAAATTCGTATATCCAATATAAAGATAATAGAATGTCAGATTTAATCCAAACTTTGCAAATCGTAATATTTTTTCAAACCTACATTAAATTCTAAGAAGGGGTCTATAGGGCAACCTCTACTGGTAAAGATGGTAAACTCTCTGATAAAAACATATACCATATAAAAGCTGTATTTTCTTCTGTAGACCTCTGCAAATCATCGCCTGAGGGCAACACCTTTTTTTACTGACACTTTTTTTACTTCTTTCTCAAATAATTCATAAACGGAGGATTCGATTCTCGAGAAAGTTGATATCCTAGAGAATTGAATTTCTTGCGGATATTCATGATCGGATTGGGTAATAAATGAATTTATGACTAGATAAATTATCAACTTGAAAACGAAATAAATACTGAAATGATGAATATTTTTTAAAACTAAATCCAAAACTGAGAAAGTTGATTTTTATCCTGCCCAATTTTGATGTAAATTAACCACATCATTTGGGAACTTTGTTTACAGCGCATATTTCTATTGGTTAAGGTCAATAAGAACCTATTCTTCCAAATGTTTTGAACTAATGTGACCCTGACAAATTAATGGAAGTCGATGTCAAAAATCTGAAAAGATTATGGAAAATTGGCATATTGCTAACAAATGGTCCATCATCGTCATATAAAAATAAATCAAAATAGAGGACTTATTTCTACCGAACTTCGAGTTCAAAAAGGAATATTGGTCCACTCTGTCCCATTTTCAAAAAGGTGAAAAATGTTAAAATGTATGAAATCAAATCACATGATTGGCGGAGCCCGGAATTGGGGAATTAGTTTAAGTTCGGAAAATATTATATTAATAACACACAAATAGTAAACATTTTAAAGAACAAAACAAAATTATTTATCTTGGTTTTACTACCAACCTTAGACAAATACTGAAGAGGAACACTTTAAAAACTGAAACTCGATTCCGACAAAATTAGTCGACTGTAATCGATGAATATATGATATTTCGTCTGACTATTTTCTAAAATAATATTGGAGAATGTGATTGTATCATAACCTAGGTTATGACATTTTGATAGCCAATTCCAATTATTATAGCCGGAATAGAATTTGGAGCCTTACTGTATAAATGGAATATAATACACATTTCCGACTTTGGCTTGGATCATAAAATCTCAGATCGACCACATTATATAGCTCGACCAAAAAGCGCACACGCATAGTGGCCTGGATGTGTTAATGATTAAATACTGCCTAATCTAGATTTTTTCGATAATTTTCCAAAATGACGTGATAATTGTTTACAGTTATAACATCATTATATTTATCTATATTCCATTCTAGTATTCGAATATAAAAATATTTAAGAAATTATTGCATCAACAAACGAATAATAATTTTGCGTGGGAGTGTTAAATGTCTGACAATTTCTAGTATTCGGACAATTTGACAGATTAAAGAAATTATTTATTTGAGCACACTGACAACACGTCACTTTTTTATATAAAAATTAATGTTTGCACTTACATTAAATATTGATTTTGGACGCTTTTTGCGTGCCGGTGGTTTTGGTGGACCATTTAAATTGTGGCAGTTACGAAAGAATAGCAACGAGAAATTTCCTGCCGAATCACTGCAGTTGCTACTTTGACCGGAAGTACTACTCATTTTCACAATTTTTTTTTTTTTAATAAGACATTATTTGAAAATATAATTAGATTTGCATTAAATGCTGCTTTACTTTTAAATGCTTGAATATATTTTTAATTATTTTATTCTTTCAATTTTTTATTATTTATTTATTATTTTAAAATTTTCACTTTATTTCAAATTTTCACCGAAATTTTTACGCATTTTATTCAATGAAAATTTCAACGTTGCCCGGTTTTTTTTGGGTGAAACAAGAAAATTTAGCGAAATGAAAATATTACCGCACAACAACTGATGATATTGAATGAAAAACTGTTTCCAATAGCAAACAAAAAATTAAGAACAAATCTCATTTCGAATATAGCGTACACCAACACATTCTCATAGTGAATGAAATAAAACCTACGACAATAAAATACATTTATATTTCAAAATCACAACTCATTTGAAAAAAAAAAACATAAGAGAAACCTCAATCTCTTGCGAAAAACAATTCTCTGAGAAAACAAATTGCATTTGTTGTCTCTAGACGATTTCCTGTTGAACTTGTAACATTTATCAGCCAACAAAGTTCATGAGTAATGACATTTAGTTGTTGTGGTTGGTGTGGGGGAATTCTTTTTTTATTTAAATGTTAAGTTATTGAAAAAACATCTCAACATCATCTAAGAGTTCTATGTTTTTTGTTCGAAACAACAAATTTACTTTGACGCTTTCCCATCAAGTTTTTTTGTTGGCAGAGTGACAAATTTTGTTATTTCACCAACATTGTGTTTTCTTTTCACCTACCCTAGGAAACACACAGCCACCTAGTGCTGCGTCACTCACATTTGTTGCATTGGACATAATTTTTGGGAGAGACCTGAATTTATATACATATATGTATGTATATATGATTATTGGTTATTTCGAAACGTTTCTATAGATATTTTGAGTATTGAGAACAGAAATTGCTTTTAATCGCTGTATTAGCAATCATTTTAGAGAAATATTCTAATAATCTCTAGAGAATTGGTGGGAAATTTGTGTTATTAAAAAGGGTGTACCAAAATAAATGTAGTAATATTTGAAATCTTGATGAATATTTAAAATTTTGACTTTTTAAATTATAACATTGGTCAGTTAAAGTCTTCTTTAGCTCGAACCGGACCCACATGCAAAATTCATATTTGTCCATACCTGTGGTCTGTACTGTGTTTACAAATTATAATGGAGAAATGGACGGACAAACATGGCTAGATCGACTCAGTTAGTTGAGAAATGATAGTCGGCATGGGCCAAGGACCAATCTTTTGCGGCGTTACAAACTCTTGGGACCATATAATATATGGATATACAAATTACTAAAATGTGACCAGCGCCCATCTTTAGATACAAGAGCACACCCAATAGCACAATGGTTTTCAACCTAACGAAAATCAATATTTACTAAAATTTCGGGAAATTTACCCAAGTTTTCCATATCACTGTACCTTTGAGAATTTAATGTTTTTAAATCGTGTTGGCTTTTATTTGATATTTCAGGTTCCTAGTGGGTGAAAAATCTTTCAACAAAAAATTATAACCCACAAACCAGCCTCTTTACAGTTATTTTGATGTTCCTAGGCACATTGCAAATCGGCTGAGGAATAGTAAAGCAGCAGGTGCCGATGGGATATCAGCCGAACTATTCAAGATCGGAGGTCAGATGCTGGTCAGGAGCATGCACCAGCTCATTGATACAATGATTGTAACCTCAGAATCCTCGGTCCCGTGCACAATAAAGAAGACAAGACGATATGTGCCAAATATAGAGGAATTAGTTTTCTTCCCATCGCAATAAAGTGCTATCCAGCGTGCAGGCTGAACGACTGAAGCCAATGGTGAATGCTATTATTGGACCATACCAATGCGGCTTCAGACCTTGCAAATCCACCATTAACCAGATTAATCCACCTATTCGTCGACTATAATGCCGCATTCGACAGCCCTATTCAGAGGTGTACGACATTCCTGCTAATTAATACGGCTATGCAGGATAACCTTAAAGGTCAGCAGTTAAAGTCGGAAAGGACTTCTCGGAGCCTTTCAAAACCGAATGAAGTGGAGTGTTCGAGAGAGAAATTTTCCGAAAGATCTTCGGGCCAATCTGCGTCGATCGGCATCGAATGAACCATGAGTTGTACCATCAACTCTCGGACATTGACATAGCAAGTCGTATCGAGCTGATGGTTGATGGTTGAGGGGACTTCCCTTAAAAAGTGGACCAATATTGATTATTTTTAGTAGGACGATTTACTACCACATCACAATCGAAAATATCAAATTACAGCGAATTAAATTGAAACCTGTGCCCAAAAACTTTAAAATATCGAATATTAGTGGGTACCGTTGTGTGGGGGCTACCACGAAACATGGGCCATTATTAATAATAAAATTCCGAATAATGGGCCGTACCGTTATATGGGGCCTACAATAAAAAGTGGGACAAAATTGATAATTTTTGGTATTAGGATGTGTAACCCAAAGAGAATGCAAAATACCAAATTACAGCCTATTCGGTTAAAAAACATGCCAAATATCTCTAACGTACCGCATATTTCGGGGTACCGTTACCCCTTCTCAATACCAATCATCCTATGAATGCAATATATTTTAAATTAAACAAACAGACGGACATACATAAATCGACATCGAATTTTACTCTGATCAATAATATGTATGCATTATGGGGTCTCCAGTAACTATTCCGAAGTGTTGTAAATTTAATATACACTACACCTTTGATGGACCTAGGTTTTTAGGAATAAAAAAGGGTTTTAAAAATTTGCAACAAAAACAATAACCAATTAATATGAGATTTTTAAGTTTTTTAAATGTTGACTCTTTGTTGAGGAAGTACCAACACGGGTGGGCCTAGAGGCTCCAAGAGGCATATATACTAAGTTGAGGACAAATGCAATTACATACGTTCACATAATTTATAATTAGTTTTTCTTTACAATGTTTATCAGTTTGTGGAATGAAACAAAGTAATAAGTTAGGAAAAAAATATTACGATTACATTTCTAAAACAACTCCAAAATCTGAAATGAATTTGATCTATGTTTATAATTTCGGGTATCTTTAGAAACTTTTTGGAAATATTTTTTCTTGTCTAAAATTTTTTTACAAGAAATATCGTGATTATATATTAGGATATTTTAATGAATATATAAGCACAATAATCGAATATATGAAGAATATATTTATAAGTATTTTTAGTTTAGAAAAACTGTAAATAATGTTAATTTTTTGTATAAATTTGGATATTTTAAAAACATATTTCATTGAAATAGAGGATATAGTTTACAATATATTTTGTTTTCCAAACTCATTGAATTTCAAGAAGAAATTAAAAATGAATTGCATATTTTAATATACTCCTTTATAAATATTAGAACATTTTTCAAAGTGTACCATTTAAGAATTAACAACAAACATGCAAATTAAATTCCAAAACAAAAAAGAACATGCTTAAAAACATTAAGAATAACAAAAATAGAAGCTGCATAAAAATAAAAGCTAAAATGTACTCAGCCTACATTACAAAACTACTCTTATGGTAAATAATTATTACATTTTGAATAAACTTAATATTAAACATCAACTTAAAACTATATAGTTTTTGCTTTACAAACAATACCATGGCAGGAGATAGATGTGTCAATGCTACTGAAAAGTGCTTAAAGTAAACAACATTTTCTACTACTAAAAGAATAAAGTATAAAATTTAAATTAAAAAATATTAATAAAGTGAAAAATTGTGCTATAATATTCGGGAGGAGACCCACAAAAAAAATTTTTTTCTAAAAAAAAATAATTAAAGCTCTCCACTCTAAAGATGCAATATGAGACAATCGTTCAGACATTCTTCATTTGGTTGGTGTCGGATTATGAATGAATGCTACTCACTGTTGTCGCCAAACTGGGAACACAATAACAATGATCCTTCATGGAGAGTACATCATCACTTGATTCACCAGCATCCTCATCATCATCGCCATGCGAGTGGCGATCAACGCTAAATGGCCGGTGATGACGATTGTGGTGTTTTGCCACATGCGGTGATCCTGGAGGGCATGTACAAAATTCTTCGCTATTATCTTCTGATGTTTCCGAATTCAAATTGAATTCTTTGGCAAAATCGAAGACACTTTTGCTCGGATGTATACGACGACGTTTCGTACATACTTTACACAATTTACCTTTGCGCAATTGAAAATTTATGAATTTCGAACGGAATGTTTGTCGTATGGCTTTGGATTTCTTTTGTATTTTTGGCACTTTAAATTTTAGCTTTGAGTTAGATGAGTCCTTGGACGGATTCATGTTGGCAGTGTTTGTTGTTGTAGTGGTGGTGGTGTTGATTTTTGTTGATTGACTTGAGGAATCAAGTAATGGATCGGTGTGTGTGGATGGTGAACTGAGTGTGGAAGAGCTATTTTGATTATTACCATTATTATCGGTTAACTGAGTTTCTGGATAATTTGGTGTACCGGAGGGTGTAATGGCTGACCCACCGGTTTTTGAATGTAATGAAGAAGATGTGTTGGATGATGATGAAGTTCCCTCGGAACTTTTATTATCATTGACGCCATTTGTTTTCATTGAATTGAAGCAGCCGGTTTCCTCTTTTTCCGGACTATCTTTACTATCCATGGATTTATGCATTTTTGTCAAAGGACTCTTAGAGAATTCCTTGATGTTGCATAAAATGGCATTAATGGATTTTTGTGAGAAGGATAATGATCGTTTCTTGTTCTTATCATTTTGCATGGTAATGGGTAATTCTCGATCTGAACTCGAGGTGGATATACGTTTGATGTCATTTGGATTACCACTAATGGGTCGTTTTACTACATCAATTATTTCCGCTGATTCAATGGCATCCAAATCGGTGACCTGTGGTGAAATCGTCCTCTTAAGACGATTATCCAAGGTACGATTCAGTTCGTCTATGCGATCTAAATGAGCATCTATGGAATTTTGCATTACTTCGGGTATGGGGTTTTGTTCATTATTATCTACATCTACGCCATTCGTATTCATGATTACTTCCTGGCCATTAGAAGTATTATCCTTCCCCTCTTCCATTATGTTTTTATTTCCTTCTGTTTCTTTACTTTCCTCTGCCTTAATTTCCTCCTTAATACTATCCGGTATTGCATTGATTTCTATAACCACCTGTTGCTGTTCTCCCAGTGTCGATAACAATATTTCCTTTTCACATTTATTTTCCACTTCACTTTCTTTGGTTACATTTTGGGTTTCGTCCTCCTTGGGATGTACCTTCTTTTCCTCATCGGTCTCCTCCACCGTAATTTCCTTTTTCTCCTCCACGACGATATCCTTTTTCTCCTCTTCTTTCAAATCTAAATCCGCATAAATATGATTATTGTTATTATATGACCATTTCTTATCGTCATATTCATCATCTTCCTCGTGCTGTTCCCTCAGCTCATTGCGCATCAATATCGAACCGTGGCTCATGCTGCGTCTTAGCTTGGATGGTACAAATCTTAGTGGCGGTGTCAGCTCCTTAACAAAATCACTTAAATCATGCATAAAACCCTGATTGTTATTAGCTTCAAAACTGGCAGCCATGCGCATGGGTAGGTTAGTAATAATAGGCTCATATTTTGCAGGGCTATTGGGACTAATTACCGATAGTGAACCCAGACTCTGAGAGCGTGGTTTCATTTTACTGGTCAAACGTTTGGCTCGCGCTGCTGCTGTCGGTGTTGTCGGCTGGGGTGTTGATTTACGTTTGAAATGACGTCCTCGCAGTAAGGTGAGAACACCACCGCGTCGCCGTAACTCATTGAATATACTTACACTTGTTGTTGTATGATGGTTGTTATTGGAGTTCTAGAGTGTGTGTTTTTGTTTTTTGTATTTATTTTGTTGGTTAGTTGTTTTGTTTTGTTTTAATTGTGTGGGTCGTATAAGAAAGAAAGATATGGGGAAAAATTCAAAATCATGTTAGGTTATATAAATATTTGGAAACATTCACCAGTTCTAATTAAAAAGGGTTGTCCTATTACTTCTGTTTCGAGGAATGCGATCGAAAATTAAGTTATGTTTATTGATACACAATAGACATTTCAGTTCTGTTAATAAGGGTTCAAGTGGTAAGTCAATAAGGTCGAGCCATGCTGACACGTAAGAAAAAAAAATTCGATTTTTTGTTAACTAATTTGTAGGCCTTCTATTTGAAAAGTAGTTTTATAGGACTACGTTTTTTAATTCTATATGAGGCCTGGATTCTTTTAGAATATTTATTGGTCTATACGAGGCGTGATTTTTTTGAAAATATGTTGTGGGCTAAGATTTTTGTAAGAATGTTTTTTTTTAATTTTCGATCACAAAGAAGTATTAAAAAAAGGGAACTCCTACAAACAATTACTTGTCATACTTAATGCATAGACCACAACCTTTAATCTTTGCTATTTTGATATATATATATATATAAATCACATACTAAATATAATAATTATTTGTATTATAAATAATACTCCATAACCTCAATATTTATGTAAGTGAATAATGCATTTAAATCCTATAGAAATACCCTACACCATACAAATTTTTATCACATTTCAAACTCACCTGATGATTATCATTATTATAGCCACTGTGTTCAAAACAGGGGAAATTTGGCAAATCATCACCGGGTGGCAATTCTTCACAACCCACTTCATTCAGGGCACATTTAATCATATCCAATAGTTTTTGTTTTTGTTTCTCCTGACAACGTAGGGCATTCAAATCCTTCGATTGGCGACTGTAAAATGAAAGAGAAATAATGTTAACTAATGCGTTCGAAAATTTAGAGCGGTTGATATGAAAATACTTTTGATTCTCCTTTGACGATTGTATGCCATTGCTGTTAATGCTACCATTTGAGGTTATCGAACCATTGGCTATGGGCGAACCACCATTGACATGTTCAATCATTTTCATTTGTTTCTCTTGGCAGTCTCGTACGAATAATTCCAATTCCAATTGTTTGGTACGCAACCAATCGACAGTTAAATTATCAACGGCCAATGTACTGGACTGTAATTTGCCAGGGATGTCTTTGATGAGCGATTCGTCAAATTGAAATACAACAGGGGTGGTGGGTGATGTTCTGGAAGAGAAAATAGGAAACGTTTTAATAATGCCTAAACTAAAAAAAGGTAAAAAATAGTTTCTAAGATATAAGAAAATGTCGGTGTTTCGTATTTTTGGAATATAAATGATTTCCTCAAAGACAATGTTCAATATAAATTTACCGCCTGTAAAGGTACCGCCCCGTTTTATGCATTTTGATGCTGCTAGCCGAATTTTAAAATTAGTGTCTGATTTAATTATCCAGTTTCTAAGTGAATAGGCAATTTTTTGAATGTCCTAGTCCACATAAGGTGGCCTTCATAATATTGGAATTTAAGCAATTTAGTATGACGATTTCTCAGGGGATGGAATATGTATTTCTGCTGTTGTTGCAGCCCTATTGCTTTAACACAGCGGACTGAGGTGACAGACGTTGGCCAGGTAAGTCTGAGGTCATTTTGGATCCCGGAACCATCTGTCGGGGTGCATTTATTGTTTTGCTACCTTGTAGATTTTTACTTGTCATTGACAAAAATGAGACAGGAATGATAATTAACAAAAAGTCGGTTAAAACGTCGAATTGCTGCCACATTCAGTCCAGCTCTGACCACGAAAGACATTTTCCAGTTCACAATTTAATTGCATGTCAACAGAACTCTTGTTGTGACACCCTATATAGGAGGCGTTCCAGCTTGTGCTTGATTGTCCCTTTACTGATCGCATATAATACTCGTTTCGTACGCCATCCATAAAAATAATGTTACAATCTGTCAAATTAACTCAAAAGGTGAATTGGAGTTCATTGTAAGAGCGTAGTAGTCGGCGGAATCTACTACATCTCTTAGGAGAATAAAAAATATATAGACAGGTCCATCTAAAATAACATACTAGGAAACTGCGTTTGACACTGTTTTTATCATGTCACTGAAAACAGACCTGACTGAAGATTCACCACATCCTTAATTCATAGCAAAAGCGAGATCATAGAAAGTGATTCGATGTGCAAGATTTGGCCCCGTTGGCCCCCTAATATAATTTCTTTGCGATTTTTCGGTTCCCATTTCTGAATTTTTGTTTTTATATACCCCAACTCACCTATGCTTTTCGGTAAATTCCCGATATTCCTCACTTGGATTTATACTGTTTATCACATTATCGATACGTTTTTGAATTTCCTTGAATTTATCCGCGGTTAGATCACTATGTTGACTGGCCTCCTGTAAAATGTTCTTCCACAGTAGTATGAAACTTTCTTGGACCGACTGTTGATGTTCCAATAAGCCGGGTAGGAGTATGGTACGGAAATCTTTTTCAACTTCGACAGCTTCGGTTATCGAGAGTACATATTCGTTGTGGGTTAAATGTAATTTACGGCAGGCTTTTTGATATTTATCACGGACATCATCAACTTTGCGGCCACTGCGACCAGCTATAATGGAAATGTAGAATAAAACGAGGGAATTAGTAAAACATTTTTGGAATGTATATATACAAGTACTTACCTTTAATATAATGTTCCTCAAAGCGATCCCTTAATGTCCGATAGCCATCCAAATGCTTTGTGTATTCGTTTTTCTTTCGTACCACCTCTTCTGTGAGCTGGAAAATAAGAAAAGGTCCATAAAATATTAGTATGGTTTAATGTTTAAAAAACTGGGAATGAATGGAATAGAGAAATACAAAATTAGGAGAATATTTCGATTTTTGGGCCAAACATTGTGGATTTAAGATCATCTGTTAAATTTGCAATTGTTTTCGACAATTTTCTGCCATATTTTTGTGTGAGAGAGAAATGTCTCTCAGCAGTTTATAGTTTAATTGAATGATTCCCTGAAATGAGCGCATGAACTAGATCAGTCCTAATCATTTATTACAATCAAAATTATTGCGGACATTTTTGGTAAAAAAATGAAATAACAAGGGAAAGTAAAGACAAATATTTCAGAGGTGGCGAGGAATGAATTCAATAGTGAATTTTAAACTTGACATACCAAGGAATATACAATCCAAACAGATCAAATCAAAAAATTTAATTTAGTCCATTCGATCATTTCGATTAATCAGACATAAGTGATTAAACTTTAGGGACATGTCGGAACTATAAAAAACACATTTCAAATTGATATGGGGAAAATTCGAATACAAGGTGGAAGATTTTTACATCTTCCATCTCCTCCAGACTTTGCTCCCGCTATCAATATATTTTCTTAGATACAAAAAAACATATCTATTAAGAAGAAACTTTCGCTAAATAGGAAGGTTATCCCCGAAACTAAGAGGTATTTCAAGCTAAGGATAAATTGTAATACAAAAATAATACCAAAAAGTTGACATTTAAATTTCAACTTTTGTTATTATTTTTCAAAAAGAATGTACTGTATCTCCCGAATTCAAGGATATAGCGATGCCAAATGTTGTTCATATTCTATTTAGGGTAGTTGCATTGAATCTGTGAACAGAAAATTGTTCTATGATTAAGTGAAAAAACTCGGGGCACAAAGGGTTAAGTTAAACAATTTTTAAAAATTATTTTAGTGTGGAACTTGATCTAAGAACGCCTACTAATACGAATTGTGTATGTTACATTCCCTCCATGAGGTTAAGACATATCTGAAAAAAATCGAAAGAATTTCGGAACTACAATGTTTGTGTTGGAAGTATCGCGAATTTATAAACAAAATGTGTTCGATGTTCGATTGTTGGCGAGAATTTTGATTTTAACGCGCATTTTGCATCTCCGTCGGTGTTTGTTCTAAAATGTTCAATTTGGTATTGCGTATAGATTCCCCAGGGTTACTTGAGTCACAAATTTAGGATTTTTTATAAAAATATTTTTTAATTCTATGTAGATAAATTATATAATATGTTTTGTAGGAACAGCTTAAGTATGGTTTCTTACAAAGTAGTTTTCAATATTTTCTTAAAGCCTCTCAATATGGCCGGCCTAAAGAAGGCAATTCACATTTCTCCTAAGACCTTTAAAGTCCACATACAATGGGCAATTGACGTATTATTTAGATGTAGAAAATGTATATAGACCCTTAAGATGTTCCTTAAAAATACATAGAAACCAGGCATTCTGTAGATAGACGAACGTTATGGGGTACTCTAGATAACGTTAAGTACCATCCAGAGGTCTTCTATCGATATTACCTATGTCAGGAGTCTTCTGTAGACGCGGTTCCATTAGGTCATATTAAATATATAGTAGAATTTCAAAAAACATTCCTATGATAAATTAACTAAAGGGAGTCTTATTTAGGCGGACTGAAAGTAGTCTTTATAGACGAGGTGAAGGGCAGGAAGGTTTTATACACGATCTGAAGGCAGACTTTATAGACGAGCTGAAGGAGTCTTTATAGACGAACTAACGGACGGGAAACTTTACAAACGAGTTGAAGGAAGTCTTTATAAAAGAGCTGAAGAGGGTCTCTATAAACGAACTGAAAGAAGTATTTGTATACAAGTTCGTCGAATCAGTTACATATATTTATACCCATTAGTAGAAGAAGTGGATGTGGCAACTTTTGGTCACGTTGGTTAGAAAATTCTAAAAATGAGGTGTTTATACTTCAATAATGAAGCATGCCAAATCCCAATCGGTTGGAAAATTAATCAGTGAGCTCAGAAGGTGGTTCTTTGGTGAATAATTATTTATCTCTTTTCTTGTAAAAACGGATCCGAAATTTTGGCAGGTAAATTAAATATATTGTTTTCTCGATTTACGTGTTGAAATTCCGAAATTTTAAAGCTGTAAGTAATAAAAAACCAAACGTAATCGGAGGCGCCAGTGAGTAAATTGTCCTTTACAATTCCCTGTTACGGCACGTTTTGAAACGTAGCGATCAAATTAGAATCTACCTAATTAATAAAATCATTAATAATTTTCAACAAATGTTGTAGTATTGTTTAATTAATTCAATAATTAGCCAAAAATAAGTCATTTAGATATTGAAAAACAAAAATTAATTTCTAAAACAATTTATTTTTTAACCAGAATTTATTGTTTATTAATTTCCCATTTGCAATTTATTTAACGAATATATATTGATTTTTTTGTTTTGCTGCTTCATCAAATTAGGTTACTTGCGATGATGATGTTGTTCAGAGAGAGAGAGAGAGAGAGAGAAAAAACCAACAACTTCAAAACGTGTTGACCAGGTCAAACATTTTAACCCACTGCCACAATTTCGTTTTGTATTATTCCAATTTCAATTTTCTCAACTTTATTGGCGTAACACAATTGAAATTGAAGAAATAAGCCGCCCCCCAAACAGGCGCGTGTTGAAGTGAGTACGTCGGCGAACACAAGCAGAAAAATGACGATATATACACGATTTGGATTGAATTTCAAAAATTGAATGAATGACGTTCAACGACGATATGAAAAAAACTATAACTGTTAGGAGGGATATGTATTTCATAAGTTCCAATAAATGCCCGTGTGTGTGTATATCGTTGGGGTATAATTGCGGTGGACTAAGTTTAACTTGAAATGAAAACAAATCCACTCAAATTTCTCATCACTATTTGCACGAATAGTTGAAGTTGGTTGGATTTTTGTTGGTTTTTATTTTTATGAATTTGTTTGAAAATAAAACAATGTTTAATTGATTTTTTCAAACATTTCTCCAACAATAACAAAAACCTTACGAATTTAACAAGGTAAATTTATTTGTACATATATAGAAGCAATTAAAAGAGGATACAGTGGCTCAAAGGTTTAACAAAAGATATTGTAACACTTACACCCTGTGGTCTGAGGTTCTAATTGAAATATATATGTATGTGTGTGCATAAACCAAGACGTACCCAGTAAAAAATTGGATCATCCAACGATTAATCGTAGGACGCTCCTTTTCGAGCAATGGAGTACTCCTTAAATCTCCGACTCTCTTGCATTTTATACTCTTTTTTAACATTGCATGTCCTAGGAGGCGAGCACTCCTTTTGAGCTCCCATTGGATGACAGACGGAGTACTCGTTTTCATCTCGGAAAGGAGGACAAAGGGAGTAATCTTTGTTATCTCCTGAAAAAGCATATAGGGAGTACTCCTTTTGATCTCGGAAAGGAGAATCAAGGGAGTAATCTTTGTTATCTCCTGAAAAAGCATATAGGGAGTACTCCTTTTGATCTCGGAAAGGAGAATCAAGGGAGTAATCTTTGTTATCTCCTGAAAGAGTAAAAGAAAGTAAAGAAGTAAAAGAAAAGAGTAAAATAAAGAATATATATTTTATCATTTATTTTTAACGAAAAAAAAACAAATAATTCATTTTTGTACTATAATTTCTTATAATTAAAAAAACATATTAAATACTTTATTTATTTAGATTTTAGGCTGTAGGTTTGCCGGTAAAATGTTGCCTTACATTTGCGAAAGGCCAACTTAAAAGATTTTTCAAATTCAGGATAAGTTTCGTAGGTGTCTCTGAGTGATTCTGCAAAAATAAAGGAAAAATAAACATCATGTACATATTATTTAAAACACGTTATAAAATCAAGCTATTACCGAAATAAAAAAAGTTAAACAACCGATATTTGTTTATGGCTGTCTTATTTTTAGCTCCATCCCAATTTACCCGAAGCAAAATATTGTCACCAATCATTGCATGTAACGCCTTTTCTATTTTGTCTTTGCCAAATTTTAGTTTCATATATGATATCTGAAAATAATTAAAGATAAATATAATTAGCTTTTAGTACCAAATTCACTTAAATTATGCATTAAAAACTCTGGCTTACCACTTCTGATTCAGGCTCGTTATTAACTAATTGTTCTGCCGAATTTAATTCCTCTAGTGAATTTATTGGAAAAATTTTGAGATCCTTGCTAGTTGGGCGTATGTGTTTAACGATCTGTTCTAACAAAATTGTCTGTTTACACATAATTTTCTTTAAAGCTTCGACTTCAGTTTGAAGGAGATCAATTTTGTTCTCCAATTTTTTATTGGTGTTTTTTGTTTCATTGTTTGTTTCTAGAAATGAACATAAAATCAAATAATTACTATGATAAAAAATATAAAAAGAGCTATGAGTTAACATTACCTGCGACATTATTCGGTGTGCTTTGTACAGTTTCATCCGTAAAAACTGATTGAGTTTGGAATATGTTCGCATTAAAATTCATGGTTCTTAAGGTAGAAAAATAGTTTGAAATATAGTTTAAATATTAGTATTTACTAAATTTGACAGTGGTGTAGAATAGGAATAAATACAAAATATTCCCCATCAGGTACGCAAAATATCTTGCAATATATGTCACGCATGTTAATTTTCTCTCGGTGGATATTTAGTGTTTTCGCCTTACAAATTCCTAATTTGAGAAATTTTCAATTTCTTTTTTTACAAGCCGTCTAAGATGACGTTTAGAAACAAAATTATCACACATTATTTTACCAATTGATTTTTTTAATTACACTTTTTTAATTTTTTTAATTACACTTTATTTACACTTACAACACGTGTTTCACTTCAGACGGACACAAGAAAACTGAGCAAATGGACGGACAACCATAAAGAAATAATCGAACATGACGAAAGCAACAGTTAAACAACAGTTACATCAAACAAAAAAAAACATGCCAAAAATGCTTTGATGCATCCCTTATTGATCCATTTGGAGCATAAGGCGAGACATCAATTTTTTTCCAACTTCGTGGAATTTTTTGGCAAAACAAAATTCATACATTGCTCGCTTATTACTCCAAATGGATGAAGAAATCATTACTCCTCTATTGCTCGGTTGAGGATTACTCCAAATATTTTTTACTGGGTATTAACCGAAACATACTCAGCAAGGTTTTGCGTACCACCATGTGTTGTGTTGTTTAAAGTGACATACAAAAATGATTTGCCAAAAAATGGAATCAACTCATAAACATTTTGGTGCGATCATTTTCACAACTTTTGCAGTTGTTTATAACGGAATAGAGGACATAGATCAACTTAAAAAATAAAACCCCATGCCCAAACACTCTAAAAATCTGGCGTCAAATTCGATATGTTCAAGTCTCATATAAATAAAAGTCTCGATCGATTTTAGGGTTTTTTTTGAAATTTTATTTTTGGCTGGATCGAACTGAAGCTATTATTCTTGAATCTATCTTCCAACAGGAATTCCCATACTTTCATATTCCTTCCCCACAAATAAAATCAACTAACAAGAGATATGAAGCCTCTGAGCCACTGTACTTAATTGTTATTCATGGCACACATTTTACCAACTCTTTTGCATACGAGGCTAATGGGAGGAATGTTTTTTTCTTTCTTAGATTCGATTTGAATTGTCTGCCACTTCTTCTTGTTCAAAGTGATTTCAAGAAGCAAAAGGTGTATGACTGACTGGTTGGTGTTGAACGGCTTGTTCAAACCACACACTGTCTCTCCATTAATTTAGCTTCTTCTTCTTGTTTTTATTCATTGTTTCTTTTGAAGCGATTACGTCTCTTTCAAAAGTATTGAACGTGCAGTTTGCATTTTCTTTTCGAATATTTTCACGTATTCTTTGACAAAAATCACAAATAAAACAGCCTGCTTGACTGGCTGCGTTGACTGGCTGCGTTGACTGCGGATTTCATTGTGGTTAACCTTATATAAATACATATATTCAAAATATTATGTCGATATTTATTTCTCCTAATCGAAGATAAAAATACAACGCTTCAATTTGTATTCTTGCCGGGTTTATAAAAAAATAATTATGACGTCGTTTTGTGTTTTTGTCACACAAAATATGAATAATAATTATAAAAACAACAACAAATTAACATACATACAATTTAATTTGTTAATCATTAATAATAATAATAAGAATAATCATTTAACGGATTCGACGAAATACTCAAAATACACGTTTTTAATCATTACTTTGAATATTTCGAAAAAAATGCACCTTGTGTGAATTATTTGACAGGTGTTTTGTTGCTTATTTTCTTGAGCGGAGTGTGTGTGCATTAAGAATGCGGAAGATTTGGGGTCTTTAAGATATATATATATATATATATATGGGGATTCATGTTTGGATTTGAAGGAATATAACTAAAAACTGTCAAATTCCTTATTGTGCAATCAGCCTTAATGACTTTGATACGGTGAATTGATACGGTTATTGTGGCATATCGATATTTTGGTTTTAGACCCCATTTTTCTTTAGATCAATTCCCTTTCTGAAAATTTTGAGTCGACACTTGAGTGATTTATATATGGTAAATATATTACCACGTACAAGGTTTGGATGAAATTTGATAGGCCGTTCGCTCCATATGAGATTCACAAATTGTCAAAATATTTGACCCTTTGTGGGAGAGGTACTAGAAGGAATGGACCGCTAAGTTCCTTAAACAGACATGTTTAAAATATAAGGTTTTGCATAGTAAACATCGGATAGTCCGTTTGCTTGCAGCAAACGGTGATCATTATGTATGAGAGGTACTAGAACTTAAATTAAGTTTGAAAGAAATATTACGATGTGCATATTTGGCATCTAATCGGACTTTCCATGATGAGATACAAGAAGGGGTGGACCGATGAGTCCCATCTTTGGAATCGATCTAGGCTAGGTAAAACCAGTGAGCGGAGCAGTATAGTCGGACGGGGCCGACCATATGATACCCTACACAACTTCGACGAAAATCTAACTTTCTATGGTTCTATATTCAGAGCTTGGACAATATTTCGCGATATTTGCACCCTCTACCGACTAGATGTCAACCAAAATTTCTAATATTCAGTAGACGAGGGCTGTACTTGTCCAGATTCTCTTTTGTGGCCTGTAGATCGACCTGAAAAAAACACAAAAAAAAAATTAAGTTTTCGGTCCACTTCATTCCAATATTATCTGATCATCACCGAAAATTATAGGCTTTGCCCTTGACCATAACTAGAACCTCATGGAACATTTCAAAGCGATCAGCGCTACATTTCCGCTCTCTAGTGGGGAAATGGGTTACTAAATAATATCTGAATATGTAAGCACCCTTAAATATTTAAGTGTAACTCCCTCATCCGAGTACATACGACAATATAATTGGCATCAATTTAAAGGTCAACAACTCCTTCTCCTCCTCTCTCTATGTCCTTCAGTAGTAAATATATACGCTATAGAATACAAATTTTGTAAATTTTCACACAAAAGTCAGGGTCCATTTGACCCACTAAATATTGACCTATCTTTATCAAAATAGGAATGCTTATTCTTTGGCCTAATCCCCTTCTCCATGTAAAAATTCGAGATGTTTGGGCCATAATTGCGGCCTCTGGAGCGACCAGAAAAGTCGACAAAAATTAAGTATTTGGTCCATTTCATCCCCTAAATATTAAACGATCTCTACCAAAAACAATAGGCCAAACCCATCCTACATGCCATCCTACATAGGCCAAACCCATCCTACATGCAAAATTTCGTGAAGATTGGTCCATAACTGTGGCCTGTGGTTAAACTAAACCCTCATTCAATCAATTTTACTGTCAAAGTTTAAAGTTAGCTTATTTTTAAATGTTTATGTTCCCCTTATCTAGGTTGTGCGAAGTTTAGTGATTTTAAGAACAATTTTGAGCATTTTGTGGGGGATCTACAAGTAGGATTGAACCGATTTTTCCTATCTTAGAACTTAATTTGAGTTTGAAAGAAAAGTTAGGATGTTCACACGATTACGATGTGCAAAGTTTGGATGAAAACGGTAACTCCTTTCGAGAGTTGTCGTGCGCACCATCCAGCCAGACAGTCCAGATAGACGTTTGGACTCCAAAATATCTGAAACGGATATGGTACAAAGAAACATGGGGTTTAAAACCAATATATTGATGAGGTAAATTTTTGCCGTATCATTTTCATGTCGGCAGCTACGCCAACAAAAGAAAATTATAGCATCAGGGGATTGGAAAATCTACGAGTTATTGTTGAGAAACATATCCATCCTCAACGTTTGACCATATATTTACGAAAGCGAGGTGGATAACACTAGAGCGGTTACTAGTGGCCCGAATCTGCAGCTACTCGATATGTAAAAACCAAAACTTTTCACACAGCAAAATATGAGGAAGTGATAACAATATTTGCTTACTAAAATATATATTTGCTTACTAAACGATATCTTAGGATTTAGCACCTTGCGATGTCCACTTTTTGATATCTCTATTTTTGAAGTTTAGTTCGTACGAGAGCCAGACATGTACTCTTTCTAACACCGTTGGAATTTTCGGATTCCGATGTTCCAGTGAGGAGTTATCATGCCCGCCATCAAAAATAAGGACTTCCCTTAAATCTGTAAACAGAAAATTTTTCTATGATTTTCGGGGCTTAATTTTCAGTTATTGAAACCCCCATTCAATCCATTTTAAAGTCAAATTAAAGTTAGCTTATTCTGAAATTTTTATGTTCTCCATTTTTCAAAGTTCGACTTGTCGGAAATTTTCACTTATTTAATTATTTTTCGATATATTTATTTTTTCTTTTTTTTTCAATATTTCAAAATTGTTTTTTCTCACTGCTTCCATAAATTTTAACACTAAACGCTTGGAAACGCCCCAACAAATTTGTTTTGATTGATCATCGATTTTTGTTTGTGTGGTTATGAAAACCCAAAAAAAAAAAAAAAAAAAAAAAATTCAATTAACTTGACCCAGTTTCGTTAACAAAAACCTGTCAAATAAACATACAAATATTTTAATACGAAAAAAACACATTTTGGTTTTAGTTTTTTTTAATTTTTCTTCTCGAAAAAAAAACCGAGAACAATGACCTCCTATAACTACCAGAAACTATTGCTTGGCAATCAATTTTTTATTTTATTTGTACAGTCATACAAAATTATTTATTGGAAAACAATTTTAAATATTTCCATAAATGTTAATTGTCGAATGTGTTGCAAGAACTCAGTCGAGATCATTTATATTAACTTCATATGGATCATAATTGGTTCGCATCAACTGGAATAAATTGCCTCAATTCTTTACATTTTTATGTAAACAAATTGATTGATTAAAAAGGTTTGAAAATATGACATATATAGTATATATTATTTTATATCCGAAATTTGTATGATATTTAGGACATAATTCTTTAATATTGAATATACATCGCATACCACAGTGTTATATCAATCAGTTGGGTATAGGTCGGCGAGTGCTTACTGAGTAAAATAAGAAGTTAATTTTCTTGAGTGGTTCAGAATAAAGCCTTCTTGACAACTGCGAGGAACCTTGTTTTTAATTCACATTTATTAGGAGTTCAGCAATGTAGTCAATATCCCACCTTGCTGTACTATAGCCTTAATTTCGACCACTTGTATCTTATTTTCTTGAATCATCCGTTCATTTTACTGTCCATTATTTTGAACATTTTTCAAAAAATATTATTTTCAATGTTTAACTGTACGCTAAATAGTCAGCCGCAAGTCAATCTTTTGCCTCTTTCCAAGCCTAAAAGCATTTCTATGGCTTTGATGATGTCAAACACAAAAAATATTTTGCTTTTAAAATACCGTAAATGTGCAGCAGCAACATATGAAGCCTCGTTTAACAACTACACATCAATAACGACAAAAACCACAACGCAGCAGCAGTGAAATATTATTAAACAGCTTTTGATCTTTTGCAAACTTATTTTTCTCATTGACAGCAACATGCGTTGTGCAACAAAAAATATGCTTCTTAAAAAGTGGTACAAACAAATAATTTATACAAGTAAATATGAGAAAGAAAATTAAGGATAAGAAAAAAGAAGGTTCACTTCCAAGCACTTTTCGATTTTTTTCGGAACGGTATT